GGAGACCCCTGCGTTGGGTGAAGAGTGAAGATTTTTTTATGGGGGGTAAGGTGGGGAGGGAGAGGTAGCTAGCATACTAAGGGAAGACCAGCGCTAGGGGAGGGTGGGGGGTAGTAAAGAAACATTCTACAAATCAAACAATATACACGCAGCTTATGAACGTGAGTGTCGACCTCCCATCTCCCCCTTGGTCTTTAGAGAGAGAGACAGAGAGAGAGAGAAAGCGTCCAGGCAGGCGTGGTTGCGCTGGTATCCTCCCACAAGAAGCCAAAAACCGAGTCATTGGTGGAACGAGGGTCAAGCGTCTCAACCTAGCAGGGGCCCTCCTGAAGAGGAAAGAAAAAAGACTCGCGGCGAGGGCTTTTCCGTGTAAATTGAGGGCATTAACGATCATCGCTGCTTCATTATGACACACACACAGAGTGCGCACAGACACTCGAGCACGCTGAAGCAAACAAGCAACTCATCCCACATCACAAATTATCTGGTGATACTAATGCTGCTGTGTTAGCAGTGGTGCACGAGGGCAATTTGCAACAAAACTTTAAGACACTCGACAATAACAACCGTGTGTGTGTGTGTGGGCTTTCGCACCTCCTCATTAGCACGGTTGGCTACGTACGGTGCGAATGAAGTTCAATATACATACAAGAACACAATCATATATAATCGGCCACGTTTCAGGCAACTGTCTTTCTTCTGTGAAGACAGCACATGAAGAAGGGCCATTGTCCGAAACGTCGCCGATTATCACGTGCAATGAAGGGCCATTTCCCGATAACACGTGTATATATATCGTATTGAAATTTCCTCCATCACAACTCGCAAGAAAAGTGAATGAAACGGGTTGACTATGCGGTGTTGTGCTTACCACTTTCCTTGCAAAGCCCCGCTTCGGAATCGAGACGCGGTTACAGGAGGTGTTGTGGCCGACTGGCTCAGAAGGTTATCATCCCCACGGGGCGATTCGATGAATCGTCACGATTTCGGGTAGCGATTCAATTCAAGCCACGGTGGCTAGGAGATGTTAACTACTGCCTCGTCTGGTAACACAGGAGGTCGTGGGTTTGATCCAGACCCTGACGCCAGCTGTATATTTGGAGTTTGCAGTGTCTCTCTTCCCGTGGTCGCGTGGATATTTCTCCGGGGTTTTCCCTCCATTTTTTAGAATCGACATGTGTTGAGAGTATTTGAAGCTTTCGTGACTGCAGGAATCCATACTCTTTGATGATGATTGCTTGTGTTGCCATCGAAGTGTCGTGATTTTTCATTTATTTATACCTACGTGACTTTACCGAAAGAACCAAAGAGTAGTGTTGTTTAGAGTATTTGGCTGCTGTAAATTTCCAAGCGATAAGCCGCTTCGTTGAGCTATCATTTGTGATAGCCAGGTCGCTTCTGAAAAAGAGCTATATAGCTCAGTGGGCCTTACCTGGTAAAATTACAAAAATATAGTTCAGTTTATATGCTGTACAACATTCGCACGAGTAAATTATTGGCTTGGAACAATCAACAGCAGCATCGCTTCTGACTACGACTGGCAGACTAAAATGCCCACTATTGCGGGCCCGGTGCTGAATAACCGTATGCCGTCCAGGGACAGCTGCCAATCGTATGTCCCGTAGTATAATTTACCAAATGTTCAAACTGACTTCCCTTAACTTTAACGCATGCATGATTTCTCTTCTGAAATGAATATGGGACGGGTGTAATCTTTGAACATTCATGAATAGTTTTTTTTGTATCAATTCATTCACGGTTTCGTAAATGTCATCTGAATAGGAAGATTAAATATATATAATGATAAAAGATAAAATATTAACTGAAATGATCAACAATTAAAATGTTTTCATGCAAGTGTTAAAAATTAATTAAATAACCCTACGTGTCCTGACTTTTGGGCCGCTCCGTATAACGCATTCCGCGCCGCGCGTTGATTCTTGCTGACAACGATGCGATAACGCTGTGCAGACATTTGTGGGAGACCAGGGAGAGGTTTCAGTCCCGACGACTCTGCCGCAAACAAACGCCGCAAATTACAAATCGGTGTCATCCACGGTACATCACAACCACAAAAAAACGTGGAAAACAGCAACGCAAGCCGAGTCTGACCTGGCCCTAACCCTAACCCCGAATGTTTTCCAGATTCCGTGCTATTTGAGTCCCGATCCCACATGCGTGCGATTCTAAATTCCACACACATACACATATACACACATACAAAGACAAAGATCCCCCATATAGCCTTAACAGACTGTAGGGGCAAGTGCTGTTAGCGAGCACCTATGAAGGCCGGAACGGTACACGAGGGGGTGGGTGGCCAGCACCACGCCCGACCGCCTTTGTCTCCCTAGTGGCAATGTTTACACACTGCACCAGGTCCTCATTTGAGGCTGAGTCGACCTAGGGGAGGCCCGGGACCGGTTCAGATAATCGTCACTGGTGTTGGCCGTGCGCGGGAATCCAACCCGGGTCGCCAGGTTCATAGCGCAGCGCGCTAACCGCTACACCACCGCTCCCCACTACACACACATACCTACACACATACAGACACACATACACAACACGTTGGACTTTGAATCCCACGTTGGTGTAATTATGTATGGCGGCCCTGCGAGTTCACGCCTCCGCTCCTCGTGGCTGGAATCCCTGGCCTATTTACGAATTTAAGACGCGAGTATCGGCTAAATGTCCAGTCCTGGTCGTGTGGACGCACTGCACAGCGGGCAGGATTCTCTCCTCGTTTTAATAGCACGGTTAGTTGGCAGTATGCATCCCATTGAATGTATGCGATGCACGCGGTGATACAAACTAATTCCGTAAGACGTGTTTGCGCACCTCGGATTAGCACATTTGGCGACGTAAGGATGCGAAAGAAGTTCAACATACATACGTGACACCACTTAACCTCCCGACAGGACCATACAACCCATGTCTCAACATGTCCGTTTTACCACGGGGTGAGATCTCGAATAGCAACACAACGTTACGGCAACGTTTCGCTGCTATTCGATCATCTTTACCAGGTGCAGGTGTGGCTCAAACTGCCCCGGGCCATCCAGTACTGACATTGGCTTTCCTTGGGTAAAGTTGATCAATACAATTATGTAGTGTATAGTGCACGCACTCTGGTGAACTTTGCAAGGTATTGCACAGGATTCCCTACGATATTACGTGAGTTGTATACTTATTTAAGCGGGTTTTTTTATATTTTTTTAAACACAAGACTACCCACCAGTTTAACACGTAGGCTTTCGCGATCAATATTATTCATAATAAACGTTTTTGGGTTACATCGCGTTATTTATAAATGTGTCGTAACCCTCCACCACCCGACACGGCCAATCAGCAAAAAAAAGTGTCACGTTGACAAAAAGTAGTGAACTATTTGTCTTTTGTCAACGTGACACTTTTTTTTGCTGATTGGCCGTGTCGGGTGGTGGAGGGTTACGACACATTTATAAATAACGCGATCTAACCCAAAACCTTTATTATGAAGACTACCCGCACCTCGTCAATCTTGGAAGGCACATTGTACACAGAGTACCGTACACAAGTTGGAGGTGTAATGATGTTAACATTACCGTGTCGCGGAAATGGGTTACGTAAACCCATTGCTGCTGTTGGCTAAGGGGCCGTCCATAAATGACGTCACGCACCTAGGGGGTGGGGGTCAGACATTTGTGACGATGTGTGACGGGGAGGGGGGGTTTGAGAATTGTGATGTTACATCAAAATGCGCAACTTTAAATAAATATAGACACGTTCTACTCAATTAAATAGACTTTTTATTAAAAAAATTCTCCTACATCAGAGTGCAGCGCCACATTAAATACGCACTACAATGACAATAGTTTAAAGAGATTTGAAGCGTGTTTTATTTTAAAAATGAAAATATGGTTTGGGGGGGGGAGCTTTGTGACGTCATATTTGAGGGGGGGGGTCTGACTTTTTGTGACGCCGTGTGACGAGGGGGTCGCGTGACGTCATTTATGGGCGGCCCCCATAGCTCATAGGATTGCTCCAGTATAAATAAAGGTTCTCACGCGTATCGACCATCACCACCCTCATCCCTTTGAGCGACGTCTAAATGCAAATTCTGATTCTGACATGCAATAACATAGGAATCGATTCAGAACGCAATCGATCCTAATGCATTCTCCTCGTGAGATGGAGATTTGAGACTTTCGGATTAATAGATTCCTCCTTGCCGCATCAAATGCGATTCTATTTGAACAACTTTTATATGCTGATAGCCGCGTTGGCACCGGGGCAACAAGCACAGGTAATAATTTAACGACAAAAAAATATTAAAAGCGACGTTTCTTTGATTTCCTCGAAAGGACTATTGCCCAAAACGTCGTCTTACCTGGTAAGATAAAAAAAAATAGTTTGTTTTGTATATTTTTAAAAGTAACTTTTTTACCTTTTCCTACACATTTCTGTACTGTTTGTTTGCAACGTTTTGAACCCGTGCCCCATACTGCACATCTGCGAAAAAAAAGAGCTTTATAGCTTCTCGGATTCCTCCATGCAGGATCAACACACATTCAGGTTCTGAGATATACAAAATAATACTGGTAGCACGAAGTTGTAAACTGAGTGTACCAGCCTGCAATAGATTAATGTGTCCGTCCGTCCCCTTTCAATACTTTAACGAAGTGAAATATCGTGCTGTTGGGGTGTAAAAATAAAATTGCGCAAAATTCCAATGTTCCTACCAGCCCACCCTGCAGGGACCTGTTAAAACTTTATTCTTTAAAAAAAAAAATAACATTTAACTTTCTGCCACGAGAATTTGTTCGCGGGGCTGCCGCGGATTTCTAATCGCTGCCGCGGTGACGTCACCGCCTCCCGTGGCGACCGTTGCTAAGGCGACGAGCGTTTGAAGCCGGCCGAGGCGTCCTAGGCCCAAGAGCCTCTCCAAGTTCATATTTTGTAACGCATCAACTTAATTTTTCCGCCACCCGCCCCCCCCCCGTCAGAGGTACTTTCACTTCTAAAGCATACCGGCAGCAGACGTCGCGGGATTAATCGCGCAATTAAACGCGCCAGCTTTTAACGTTTCGCGTCGGGAGTCGGGACTTGCGGCCTAGTGCAGGCTTCTCTCGGCTCATGCTTTCCGTTACAAAATAAAAAAAACTCTTAAACAACTGCTGCGATAAACATCTTCAACGACCCGATCCAAACATCTTCAATGTTTATCGTCTTAAACATTTTTTTTTTAGCAGTACGTGTTTTTTGTATCATTTGCATGGACTTTTGTTGTCTCCCTTCATATGAAGAAGCGCCTAACAACACGAAAACTCTGGACCACGACAACAAAGCGGTCCAGTGTTTTTAGTGTCTATCGTCTGTAACAAACACATCCCGGCCGTGACCGAGGGCGTCCTGGAATGCGGTTGATCCGCGTACATTATCGGGATAGTTGTTGGATGCACGCTCACCATGCATACCAGGTGCTGTAGGCTGCGTTGCTACGCGGAGGGAGGTGTAGCAGAAACGTCCATTGTACAGTACTGTAGTATATTCTTGGTTCTCTCGGTAAAGTCACCACGTAGAAGGGAAACATTGAAATAATAAAAATATAAAACAGTAAAATTCTCACGACGGTTCGACTTGCAACACCAAGCAATCATCATGAGGTGTGAAACATTTTCTTGCTCTGGTTTTCACACCTGATGATGATTGCTTGTGTTGCAGTCGAAACGTCGTGATAATTTTATTGTTTTATATTTTTATTATTTTATTGTTTCCCTTCTACGTGATTTTACCGAAAGAACCAAGAATATGAATCCCTGCAGTCACGAAAGCTTTAAATCAAAATTCAGTACTTTACTGTTCAGAGTGGTCCAGATGTCCTGTGACCCCCGATTAATTTACCCCAAACATATTTTCCCTTTGCATATTAACTTGTTTCAAATAAACCTTACATAAAACATTAAGTTTAGGATAATTAAATGGGGGTCAGAAGACATCTGTACAATATTTCTTCTTAATTATGAGTTTAATAATGGCTCCCCTTTTTGTTGAACCGTAAGACATTTAATAACGCTGACCGCATGGGCATTAAAAAAAAACAGTCCATTATGTTCCGAATTACGAATCGTTCGACTTACGAAAGGGTCTCAGGAACGAATTAGGTTTGTAAGCCCGTATACAATTTCAATTGTTATTGACAGGCTGTGTTGGTCCTCTGACGTTTTAGTGGTGGCAGCGTCGTCATCACCATCATCATCCTGATGACGACCCGATCCAAAGTGAGGAGTCCCCTGCAGAGGGTGCAGAGGAGCATCGACGACGTGAAGAAACGTCTCGACGCGCTCATCGCCGAGGAGCGAGACGGCGGACAGCGGAGCAGCGGCCCCGGCAACAGGGAGCTGGGACGGCGCTGCGAGGACCTCCGGGCGCACGCGGAGGGCGTCCGGCGGGAGCTCGCTGCGCTCGGAAAGGCGGACGAGCCGGCGCCCGTCTCCGATTACGACGGCAAGAAGGAGGAAGAGGGGCGGCGCCTGCAGCGGATCCTGGCGGAGCTGCGACAGCTGGCGCGGCGGTGTGCACCGCCCGACAGTCGTGAAGGCACCGAGAGCGAAGGAGAGGATGATGAAGAGGGAGAGGAAGGAGAGGATGATGATGATGAGGGAGAGGAAGGAGAGGATGATGATGATGAGGGAGAGGAAGGAGAGGATGATGAGGATGAAGATGATGATGAAGATGAAGAGGGGGAGGAGGTAAAGCAGGTGAAGGGGGCGTCGGTGCAACAGGCAGAGGAAGCGGAGGGTGGAGGAAGGCAGACGAGAGAGGTGCAACTTAAAACGTTTGTTGCTCTCAGCGACTTCACGTCGCAGGAGGCCGGCGACCTATCCTTCAGGAAGGGGGCGGTGCTGCTGGTGCTGAGGAAGAAGCCGGACGGGTGGTGGGAGGCACAGGACGAGCACGGCGCACGCGGGATGGTGCCCAGCACGTACCTGCAGCACCAGAAGCCGGGCAAAGATGAAGACGACGAAGAAGACCAGGATGACGACGAAGAGGATGACGAGGACGACGAGGAGTCGGTTCCTTCGAGCGAAGAGGAAGCCGGCAGCAGGCGGCACGACACCTCGTCGGGGCGCGGCCTCAAAGCAGCTCTAGACGACACGAGCGCCAGCGCCGCTATGACAGCGATGGGCGCCGTCCCCCCGGGATTCCGCCCGTCCACACTGCACCGGCTGCTGCTGCTGCGCGGCGAGAGCGCGGACGAGTTCAGCACGCGCGGCCACCTCCTGCCACGCCTCGGCCCCTCGCAGCTCTCCTTCCGCGACCTGCAGTGGAGTGAGGAGCAGGGCGGCGTGAGGCCGCGGACGTGCCGAGTCAGCCGCACCTTTTACCTCGCCGGCGCCAAGGCCATCCCGCCGCCGGGACCCAGCGTGCAGGTGGCGAGCCTCCACGTGCGCGTGTGCCTGTTTGACGGGCGCCGCGTGCTGAGCAACGTGCACGCGGTGCGCGCCACGTGGCGGCCGCGCAACCCGGGCCGCTGGACCTTCTCTCCCCGCGTCGGCGGGCTGCTGCCGAGCCTCTTGGACGGCGAATTCTTTGCCCGCTCCGACAACGCCTCGCCCAATCTCGGGCTGCTGTTCGAGTTGGGCATCTCGTACGTAATGCGGTCGCACGCCGCCGCCACCGACACGTCACCGGCGGCAGAGCTGGAGCTCGGTGAGCTCAGCTGCGGCTGGGCCTTCATGCGGCTGTTCGCCGAAACCGGCCTGGCCATCGCCAGCAAGTCCTACGAGCTCGATGTGCACGGCGGCACCCCCTACGAGCGCGACGTCGAACTGGACCCCTCGGCCGCCGGCCGCGCCGGCGGCGCCCTCCGGCAGATCTTTTCCAACGCCAGGCCACGGCTGTTGGTGAGGGTGCGCACCCCGGCGGCGCCGCTGCGGCGGGCGCTGGACCGCCTGCCGCAGACGCTGGTGAGCTGCGTCTGCTACGTGTCGGTGCTCGTGATGTACCGGCAGCTGCTGGCCGGCGCGCTGCTCGAGGGTCGCGGCGACGAGACGGACGCCCGGCCGGTGGCCGACGACGTGCTGGCGTCGCTGGGCGAGCTCGTCGGGCTGCCCGACGTCATGGACGCGCTGCGCAGCGTGTGGGCCGAGCGGCGAGCGGGCCTGCGCCGGGCGGAGCGCGGAGACCGCCGCCTCATGGAGGAAACTTTTCGGCGGGCTCACCGCGACACGGCGCAGCTGCTGCTGCACCTGGCGAACCTCCCGCCGAACCGATGGGGCCACGGGCCGAACGAGGCCGAGAGGTGGATGGCGATCGGATCCATCCTGAGCCAGGGCCGCCAGGCGGGAGGCTCCCTGCTGGGACTGCTGTCGCCCGAGCTGCAGCACGAGCCGTTTCACATCGACCAGGTGGCATTCTCGCTCACGAGGGACGCGCCGATTCATGCACGGGAGAGCGGTGGCGGCAGTGGCGGGGAGGTCGCCGATGCGGTTTAGACGGTCGTGTGGCGGACACCCGGATGAGATCTGGTGACTTGGACGCAGGGTTTTGTGGATGGAGATTGTGTGAGGCACCAAGCTACAGGGTACTGTAAAAGGCAGTTCTGCAAAATTGATTCTCTATACTATACGTATTGTTTAGGGGGGCAGAAAAAAATCTACTCAGCTTGCCACACATAGTAATGTTCATCATGTCACCATAAAACTGATATTTTTAATTCGAGGTACTGAAATTTGGCCAAAGTCCAAAACTACATTTAACGTGATGACCTTCAATTAACTGCACTTGATAGCCTGCTTTCATCACTGGCGGCTGCCTCGATTCGAACTCAATGTTTTTATCAATAAGTATTTGTTTTGCATTTTTCTCAGAATTTAATTCTAATTATGCTATCAGCATTGTGTTATGGGACGAAATAAATTTCAATCCAAAACTGTAGTAGCTAGTAGTGCATCACCCCGTATCAGAGAAAAACAACGCCAAGTATATGGGGTCACAGAACTACTGAAGTCACTTCCAGCAGACCTCTTTATCCACACTAGTGGCACAGCTTTCAATGCCAGGCAAATATTATTTGTTCCAGTCAATTGAACAAAAAAAATCTAATACTCAACAGCTGTAAGAAGCCAAATTAAGTGAAAACCAAACGTAATGTGATGGCAGAATTTTTGTGCAGTCATTGAGGGTGGCGAGATAGTTAACAGGCGAGGTAGTTAACATACCGTCATGGTGGTGAGATTAATTACCTCTCCTGGTACGCAGGAGGTCGTGGGTTAGATCCTGACCCTGACACCGGTATATTTGGAGTTTGCGTGTCTCTCTCCCTGTGGTCGCCTGGATTTTTTTTCCGGGTCCTTCGGTTTTTCCCTCCACGTTTAGAATCAACGTCACGCGCTTAGAGTATTTGGCTGCTATAAAGTTCCACATGATGATAAGCCGCTTCGTTGAGCTATTATATATGGCCAAATCACTTCTGAAAAAGAGAGCTGTATAGCTCAGTGGGCCTTACCTGGTAAAATAAACAATAGTTTATAGTTTATCAACTCGCCACACTTGAACGCCCAGGTTTTTTTGTAGGTGGCTATGAAACTCTGCTGGTTCAGTGCTCCTGATGCGTGAGCTGCCTGGCCGCGTCGCAAGTGGATTTTCTACACGGTTTTGAACGTTATCTCCCCACACGCGCTGGGTTTTCCTTTGGCTGTGTTCTTTCCTTTCACAGTTAGTGGAAAGGAACTCAATAATGTCCAAAGTCAATCCCTCCTGAAATTGAGTCTTGAAACTCAGCATTCTTGACATAGGCATTGATTGCCTCATCAGCTGTCACATTCGTGTGGGACCAGAAACTTGCCTGTGGGATTGTTGTCTTGGTACACAGTTTTCATTGCTGCCAGTTATCTAAATACAGGACCCTCCTGAAAATTACTCTTGAGGCTCAGGATGTTCTAGATATATCTGTATATACCACGTATGCTTTAAAGTCAATGTAGAAATGTTTTTGTCTCCAGAATATTGAAGCAAAATTGCGGTTTTAAAAATAATGCAATCCTATAAATTGATAATGGAACCCATGTATTTACGCTTTAAATAAAGTGTGTTATTTAAACTGTAACCCATGATTGTGTGATCCACTAAATCTTTAAGGTCAAGAGGTCATCACCGATGCCATTGATGTCACCACACTAAACCATTGTACAAACTACAGCCCAAAACCCACCCTCCGTGTAATACTCCCACAAGCTGGAAGATGGAGCTATAGCAACCATATCCGAAATCACCATCAGTCATGATCAATCCACTGCTGGATTAAGGCCTCCAAACCCTTACCATCTTTCACAATCCGCTCTGTAATACTCCACCAAGCAAACCTACATGGCAGCAAAACGCACGCCAGTTTAGACGCTTCGCTGACCGACGGTGACCTTGTCTCTGAGAGGGGGGGGGGGAGGAGGGAGGGAGGGAGGGAGCAGGTTTGCGGGGGTGGGGAAGGCCGGGCAACGGCTGCAGAGGCTCTCGGGGTTATTGAGCGGGCAAACGGAAAAGACCTGACGATCTAAAGGGACCGCCCGCCGTGCGGCACCAGCGGGGAGAAGTTGGGAGGGGGGAAGACGTTATTACCGCTAAGCTTCCTTTTGACCCAACCGCACCGCTCCTAACCGCGCCACGGCAAGCTTGGGGCGGTTTAATTTAGACTTCGCGATTCGGCCGTTTTTTTTTCTTTTGCTTACCCGTAATGACGGGAATTTCGTAATGCATTTCGAGTTGGAATGCTGTTGCAAACACGTCCGGATGGGTTGCCCCGAAGCGCAATGCATTTACAATTGCAGGCTGCGAGCGGTTTTGGGTAGAAGCCAGCGAAATTATTGGCGTTGAAAGTAGTAACAAAACCGATTGGCTCAACCGCTGTAGGAAAAATACACGAGCGGTAACCTGCAGCGGGCGACCTCATCGCTGCCGCCTCTATGTTCGATCCGTACATCTACCGTGCACCTTCTACTCGCGGGCTACGGAACGCCTCGCTCCCAGCGATTTCGTTTTTCCTGAAAATCGCTATCTGCAGGGACATGAAAAAAAAAGATGTTTCAGGAAAGTGGCGGGCGGCGTGGCTCAAAGGTCACAGCGCTGTGCTGGCACTGCAGGGACCCTGGATTTGAACCCAGGCAGTCGGACGTGATTAAGTGGGATTGTAAAGTGCGGTGAGTTGATGGTCTCAGCCTGGTTACCAATGACTGCGCACGAAAACAAAGAAAAAAGCCGTAACATTAAATTTAGTCCTGCACTTAACTTGGCAAAATTTCAGCTCTGAGAATGAAAAAAAATTCTGTTATGCCACAAACCTCTCTCACTCATATGCATGTGAAAAAAGACTGCCCACTATTGTGTCGACAAAGGTAACTGAATGGATCTGAAGTAGCTCTGTGATACCTACTTCCATGGGCCGTTTAGCTGAATTCCAGCTCTTTAAATAAAAATAATACTGTGATTATACCACCATGTGACATTCTCTCTGTAGCAAAGCGGGTGGACAAGTGCTGCCCCTATTGTGTGGATAAGAGGTTACTTGAAGGCCTCTCAGAGGTAGCGCTCCCCTGCGCGATATCTGAATGTATACTTTGTCTCGTGACATGACGTTGATAGTGCAATTGTGCTGCAATAAAAGCGTATTACAGCACTAACTGATTGGAACCTTCGTGACCTTGCCATCAAACCCAACACAACGATTACGCTGGGTGGTGGTCTTTAAGACTCGATCACCTGCGAGATAATCCCTTGTGCAAGGAGATATAACTACGAGACCTTGCCTGCTTGACTTGTAAAAAAAAAGCCCCACTTTTTCCTGCTTTAGAACGGTTGACGGGCCATCTTTCACAGCCGAGACTAACGACGGAGTGCCAGCCAAGCTAGATAAACACGCTCGATAGGGTGACCGCCTTGCAGATGGCAGCGATGAAATCAGTCGCTATATTGATCATTGCATCACAGGTCCACAATAAGATGGTAACGGCTTTGGGGAGACCTTCTAACGGCAGTGGACTGATCATGATTTAAACTGATGCAAGGCGCTTTGAGCGCTACGAGTGCAAAGGTGCCGTAAAAACAAACGGCAACAATAATAGCAGTAATAATCCTTTGTACGTGGTGAATATCGGATCACCGTACGTGGTGAATATCGGATCACCGCACGTGGGTCATCCGCACAGAGCCAGGCGGCATTTGGTTTGAAGCCAGATTTATGAGGTGTGTGTTTTTTTGTGTGGTCAGTGGATTCCACACTCTGCATCAGCACCGGGCTTAACTGCTGCTGAGATTCACAGTGCTCCGAATGTCAATGGTGTGTCTACAAAACCAACACGGTTACTGTTTAACACGTAGGGTTTCGCGACCAATATCATCCATAACAGGTTTTTTTGGGGTTAGATCGTGTAAACATACAAATCTGGCTGTCGCCTGATGAAGCCAGTTATAATTACTGGCGAAACGTCGTACTCAGATTGTAAATGTGGCTTTGCTCTCCAACACACCGGTGTTGCTGTACTTGTAACGAATTGGCACGTTCTGTTTACGTGACAAACCTTACTAATTGGCTGTGACGGGTGGTGGCGGGTTTAACGACACATTGATATATTTCCGTGATGCAACCCAAAAAAACCTGTATTATGGACAACACGGTCCTGTATTAAGTTTTATAAACACAGCGTTTGCTATGCAAGCGCAGTGCGCTAACCACCTCGCCGTCGCACCACCAATGTAGTTACGGGACTACATTATTGGATAAGGGAATGGAGCTACGAGACCAGCACGCATCAGCCTCCTCTTGCGAGTGATGTCACAAGGGTCTTAAATGGCGTTGGCGCACTTCGGTAAATGTGAACAACACAAGTTACCGGCCTGCAAGTAGCGTGTTAATCAGTGTGTTGATTTCATGAACAAAATGCATTGAGGAAAATATTCGTCAGCCAAGTGCTTAAAATTTTAATCAACGATGACCGAGCAGATGAAAACCATCAAGCGCGACGATGACTACGACTGCTGCTCACTGAAAATTCAACGCGCGACCGATTATGATGAGATGGCATCACAGATGTCGACGAAAACGTTTGACAGCTGATGGCTTTAGCTGACTAAACTCAGATGGCGACCAGATGAAATCAACAGACTCAGACGCAACTAAAACTCTGCAGTTTTCTGTCAACACTGAAGGCTCCGACGAAAATAACAAATTGCTGGCTCGACTGACACCGGCGGTACTCAAACCGTCGACTCCGCGATAGCTGGCGCAGCGGCAAGCACGTCGACTGCCAGGCTGCGTGCGATATATCAGCCGAATTTAGCGCTTCCGTCCCTTCGGAAAGGAACAAGCCACAGAGCCGCTGTGTTCGGGGAGGACATATTTACGGTGGTTGCTGACTTTCGAGAGGGAGTGCCGATTATAAGAGGAAGCGGCAGTGGAAAATGTTTGGGTGAAATTAAAGCTCCCTTGTCTTGTTCATTAGACTCAGCATCCCACTCACTCTCCCCCCACACGCCCGCTCATTCTCACTCCCGACTTACCCACCCACTTCCCCACTTCGCTGGCTCACTCCCTCACCTACTCAATCTCTTACACACTCACCCCACCCACCCATTCACTCACTATGTCCCACCTGGTTGCTGACCCATTTCGCTTGCTCTCCCTCCCACGTGCTCACTAAACCAATCACTGACTCTCCCATCCGCTCAACTCACCCACTCACTCACCAACTCACTCACCAACTCACTCGCTCACTCTCCCCACCTGCTCACTCACCCACGCTTCCATCTATTTACTCACCCAACCAATGGGTTACTCACTTACTCAGTCACCCACTCACCCATTCACCCACTCACTCGCTCTCCCACCTGCTCACTCACTCATCTGTCCTCTCATTCACCCACCCACCTGCTCACCCACTCACACTCTTCTCACACCTGCTTACTCACTCATCTGCCCTCTCTCGCACCCGCCTGCCCATGGAGAAACAGCGTAGGGCACTGGTGGGGGGGGGGGGGCCGCACCCCCCGCCTACCCCCCCCCCCCCAGTGCTCTCTACACACGGTGACGCGCGCGTTTGAAGCTGAAAGCGATACCGAGAAAAAACACAAGACATAAAATACTGACGTCATTCAGAGGCCCCGAACACAGCAGCTCACGCGTTATCACTGATCTCCATCGCACAGAACTCGCCAATCTCTCACACAGCATCCCCCTACACCGACATGTAAAGGGCAATGCGGCACAACCTCACGTATCCGACCGTCACACGTCCGCGCCGACCAATTAACCGGCCCACACCCGGTGCAGTATTGTTTGTGAGCGGTGTGACCGTCATGTGCTGTAGATGTTCACGAATCCAACGTTTTCACAAACACACAGCCACGGCTTCTGAATCTCGCGTACGTTTGCTTACCTCCAAAGCACGGCCAAGCAATTCCCTGTTGTTTACAGCAGTGCACACTTTTTTTTTTTTTTATTATCCTGCTAACCCCATCTGTGAGCAGCGCAATGCTTATTTTCAATTGACGTTCACAAATCCGACCCTTCTTCACATATCCGCCTATAACATAATTCCACAGCGAGTCGAATATATGCGACGTTGTACTCTTTTGATGAGATTCACTGACTTACGATAGGCTTGCTGTGGCAGGGTCGCCCAGAGGTGAGAGCGATGAGCCGGCACCTCTGTGAATCCTGGGTTCAAATCCAGGTTTCAGCTGCCTGTGGTTAAACCGGGGTCGCAAGTGTAGCGAGTTGACAGTTCTCAGCCCCGGTCACTAATGACTGCACACATTCAATTTGGTTCCGCATTTCATTGCGCAAAAACTCCAGCGCTGACGATTAAACACTCGTCACGTGACGAAGCCTCGCTCTCACATGATGAACGGGTGGGGAAAGTGCCGTGTGTGGACCGGAGACTCCTTGCAGAAGGGATCTCAGTCGGAGGTAGCTCTGTGGTATCCGCTTCCCCTCACGCCGAGGACTACGCGCTTGCCCCACGAGAAATCCGAAGCGATTATTCGTCACGAGACACCGAAAGCACGGCCGTGGATAAAATCGGGGAACACATTAAAGAAAATATAGTTTTCAAGAATTATAAGCGTGACGGACGCGCACAACAGTGAAGCGTGCCGTCGTAATTTAACTGGAGGGCAGCAGCCCGTCCTCCAGACGGGGTTAATCTTTCCCCATCGGCTCAGCTGTTCTTCCCCTCGCTGGTATTTCCGCCGTTGGCTCTGCCCCCTCCGCTGTTGGCTGCTCCCAACACTCAGCAGACACCTGATGCTGCTCACGCAACACCGCTACCGGATACTGCATTGCGATATTAATACATACTTTAATACATTACTGCAATATATAATAATAATAAAATACAATCTTTGGAGGGGATTCTGTGTTATTTTACAAATTCCTAAAAATGTTTCAACCACCCATGGCAGGCAGAGACGTGCGTAGCTTACAGTGCAAATAGATTCCACTCATTCTCAATACGCTTCACTGCATCATTGCAATAAAAATAAATCACAGGTACCAAAGTCACCCACAATGCACCGCCAGATCTCGGAAGCTAAGCAGTGTTGAACAAAAAAAACTGTGCTTTGACGGGTAACCCCCATGCATAACAGGAGTTACAGGCTTCGGTGGCGATTCAAAGAATGGCAATTCTCCACGGAAAATACTGCCGATTGCAACAATCCTATCCGGCAAAGCTAATAGGTTCCAAGGATGGCGTTGTAGATTTCAGGCTAGCAGGGGAACAGATGCGTGTGTGTGTGTCTGCTGACTGTGTGAGCGTGTGCTGCTATGAATGTGTGTGTGCTTTGTGAATGTGTGCTGACTGAACAACTGTGTGAGTGTGTGCGACTCAGCCTAAAATGAATACCTGGTGCGGTGTGTAAACATCACCAGTTGGGAGTGGTGCTGGCCACCCACCCCCTCGTGTGCCGTGCCGGCCTTCATAAGTGCTCGCTAACAGCACTTGCCCTAACAGTCTGTAAAGACTACATGGGGGACATTTGGCTCTCTGTGTGAATGCATGTGCTGTGAATGTGTATGTATGTGTATGTGCAGACTGCGAATGTGTGTGCTCTGACTCTATGAATGTGTCTCCTGTGTGTGTTGACTGTACGTGTGTGAATGTATGTTTGCTGTGGCTGTGCATTGACCGGATGTGTGTGTGTGTTGACCGCATGTGTTCGATTTGTATATGCATTGACGGTACGTGTGCATGTCTGTGCTGACCCGATATAGCGTTGGTGTCTCTTAGCCACATCTGAACACCTAGTTGGGGGGGGGGGGGGTAGGCGGTGCCTGGACACCCACTACACCCATGGCGGCGAGAATTACCCAGGAAACTAGGGAACTACACAAATTTCTCACCCTCTCAACCCACTCGGTACGCAGCGCTCAAGCCTTGTAAAACGCAGAGATCGTTCCACGGCAACTGCGACACTTTCCCCACACGTCACGCCAAAACCTCCTTGCAAACCGACCCCACCCACCCGCCCTCCTCCTCCTGCTGCTGCTGCTGCTGCTGCCACCGCTACTGGTCAGTCCGGGTGACCCGCGTTTGACCCTTGCCCCCAGAGGGGCGCGCGAATCTGGCGCCGTGAACCTTGGAGCTGTAGACGTCCGGCAGGAGCGCAGCGAGCGCCTGGTCCAGCAGCACACCGGTGAGGCCCCACACTCTGTGACTGCCCCAGGCCGACGCCGCCGAAGCCGCCGACCCAGCCGACGACGTCGGCGCAGCGGAGGCAGCGTGGGGCGAGTGGCCCGTGCTGAAGAGCGGCAGCGTGTACGCGTAGCGGCCGCCGCGAGCGCGGAACCGCGTGTAGCCCTGGTGCGCGGGGTCGCACAGGTGGCGCAGAGAGACGAGGAACGCCTCCTCTACCTGCGAGGAGCAGGGCAGTAAGGGTGGAGGAGGGCGTGTGTGGTCGTTATCGTCGTCGTCGTCGTCACGATGAACACTGCCGTCGCTATCTTTTTGTTATTATCACTGCCATCTCCATCATCATCATCATCACCACCGTCGTCCCCATTGGGACCATCGCCATCATTAAAGTCGTCACAATCAGCAGCGAGGGGGGAAATTTAGCAGGGCCCCCCCCCCTACATTTCATTCCTTGCAGCGGGGTCCATGCCAACCAAGCTACACCACCACCCCTATCCACTCTTAATTTTAAGTTAATTTATTTTTGTCAAGCGCCTTAGGATGCGATTGCATTTAGACACCAATTCAGAGAGTTCCCATTCTATCCCTCCGCGTGTGGAAAGAATAGGGCAAGGCCCGGACAAACGGGGGGGGAGAGAGAGAGAGAGCACTTCAATCCCACACTTGACAGACTCTGGTCATGCCTCGACAACACGCCTTGGGTTCTCCTCCTGGGGAAGGGGGTGGGGCAGGGGGGGGAGGTTAGAATTCACGTCGACACACCGAGCCAGATCCTACGGGAGCCTGGGTTCAAGATCCGGGTCACCACTTGGAGTAATTGGGTACCTTGTGCGTAGGAGGTCCCTTGCACTTTGTGGACGGGACCGACGTTTGTTAAAGTAGAGGCCAGGAAATCTCCAGAATGTCTACAAAGCAAACGTCGAACTGTCCAGGAATATTGGGGACCGTTTTTTTTTTTGCGGTAACCATTTCGTAACACAGCCTCGTCAAAAAAACAACTATTACACGCAAAACAAAAATGTAACCGTTATTGTTTCCCGTGATTTTGCAATTTGTGATTGAGCGAAGAGGTGGCGTGGTTGTTATTGGATAGATCGTGGCGGATGACAGAACCCTGTACTGTCTCATTGTTCAGCGTCTTCGGCGTGGGTTAGGCGGTTGCCTCACCTCGTCTGGGTTGGGATTCAATGCGTCCGGGTCAACTTCTCCCAGGTCCGCGAGCACCGGCCACACCAGCATTTTGCCCGTCTAATGAACCACGCACACCAAAGCACAGCGGCGCAAGCAAACTGGAATCGTCAACGACAACGACGACAGCAACAGCCGCTATTCGGCACTAAGTGGCAGTGACGTCACTACAGCGCTTGTGCCAGCGTAGATGTGGAAGGCTCGCTGCTGTCAGGTCACGGAACAGACCCAGGTGCTATGGGTTGACTGACAGGGATAGCTGGCAGATGCACCACCTGTGCTCCCCACTGTATGAATCACACATGCAACAACAACCGCCATTCGCCACTAAGTGGCTGTGACGTCACCACGGCGCTTGTGCCAGGCTATGTGCACGTTGAGGTCACGTGAAGTGTCGAACGCCCGCTGGCAGGAGGTCACGGGGCAGACCCAGGTGCCACACACTCATACTCACACACACGCACTCACACACACACGCACTCGCACACATGAACGCACACACGAATGCACACATGCACTCTCACACACACACACACAGCACCGCAAGTTTAATTGGCGGCCCCCCAAGCCCCGATGGGGAGCGGTGGTGAAGTGACAGCACACTGCGCTATGAACCTGGCGACCTGATCTTGATTCCCACTCATAGGCAACAAATATCTGAAACAGTTATATCGACTCAGCCTCAAATGACTTGGTGCATTGTGTAAACATCGCTGCTGGAGAGACAAAGGCGGCCGGGCGTGGTGCTGACCACCCACTCCCTCGTGTGCCGTGCCGGCCTTCGTGGGTGCGACTCGCTTAACAGCACTTGTCCCCAGACGAGCTTTGTGCGTTCGTGGCGTGTGTGTGTCGTACCACGTCTGGGACGGGGGTCAGAAGCCCCCACACGGAGTCAACGCTCACGTCCACCCCCAGCTCCTCCCGCGCCTCCCTCAACGCCGTCGCCACCGCATCCCGGTCCCCCTCTTCCTGTTTGCCGCCGGGGAAACTGGAAGATAACAAAAAAGACAAATATACCCGATGTAGCCACGCGGATGTAGAAAAATATTTTTTTTACGCGGGGAGATAAACGTGGGAAGATGCTGTCCGCATATTGCGGGTGCCACGGTGGCGAGATGTTACCTACCTCGCCTGGTATACAGGTCGTGGGTTTGATCCTGACCCTGACGCTTGTTTATTTGGAATTTGCGTGTCTCTCCCCGTGGTCACGTGGATTTTTCTCCGGGTCCTCCGGTTTTTCCCTCCACATTTATAATTAACATGCTTTAAGGGTATTTATTTGGCCGACATCATTTGTGGCCAGATCGCTTCAAAAAAAGAGCTATATAGCTCAGTGGGCCTTACCTGGTTAAAATAAAAATAGCAGCAGTACAGTATTTATCAGCGTTAGTGCGCCACCTAGTGGAGAGTAGTGGAATATTCATCAAATCTCTGTGGAATCTCTCTCTTCTGAAGAGCCATTGCCTGACGTTTTCTTTTAGGGCTGCTGCCAGTGCTGTATTACAGAAAAAAATTATCTGCTTATTTATTTTATTATTTATATTCTCCACAAGTACGCTCATGATTATTTTTGAGCCGTGTATTATGTCATTTTGCGTCGAACTAGGAGCCATATCGTTAAGAGACAGGTGGGTCTGCCTATAATATTGGTAGTTCATCAGCATTGATTCAAGCAAGCCTGACTGCTGATGAGACACTGTATGTCGAAACCAGTCCAGAGTTTGTCTTGAATGAATGCCGCTGAGATTATGTTTGAGAGGCAGACACGTGCAGGTTAGGTGTCTGTTTATTTATCTTTGTTCAACAGGGTTAGGTCACCATCTCGTGGCGATTGTTGGAATCAACACTAGCATCGCAAAGCCTGACTGTTGAGAAACTGAACATCAAAATCTGTCCGGACTTTTGCACTGAGCCCTGTGGCTAGCCTGTAATCCAGCACTGCGGAGGCGAGGGTTGGTTGATCACACGAATATTGGCATTGACTTGTCCCACGCCTCTGAATCAAAGGAAGCTGCGTGCATTACGAACTTGTAACTTTTTTAACCCGTGTGCTGCCAAAAATATGTGCGCCCTCCCAGAAGGCCGTATGTCCTGTAGGATGTGTAAATGCGTATTAGATCTTTTATTAATTCCTTGGTTCATCCGGTGCGTCTCAAGGCGCATTGGTGCGGTGACGGGCGCACACAGGGAGGCCAAGTCCTTCTCCTCCGTCTCCTCCTCACCAGACGTCCCCGCTATGCCGGCCGGGCATGGTGCGTGACCGCAGCGTGAGCAGCACGCTGGGCTCCCCGGCGTGCCGGCACAGTGACACCAGCACTGCGGCGTCGACACGGTTCCCCTGGGCCGGAGTCCACGTGGGGATGAGCGGCGGCGGCTGCTGCTGCTGCTGCTGCTGCCGCGAGGTCCCACGGTCCCTCCGGGCCAGCTCCCGTCGGCACCGCTCGCGGTTCGGCACGTCGAGGCACGATGCCACGAGGAGTTCCGCATCCTCCCGCGACAATGCCGTCCGTGCGGGACACCACGAGAAGGGGGGGCGGTGCCACGGCCCTGACGAAGGGGTGGAGCGGGGCGACGACGATTTGGAGGACGAGGGAACAATCTGCCCCGCAGGAAGTGGCGTGGCAAAGACGGTGCCGCTTAGGCAAGGCCGCAGGGTGCGCCCCAGGGCCGCAAGCCGCATCAACATCTCCCTGCGTTGCTCTGTCGCTCCGCTTCTGAGGGTTTGCTGCTTAATTCCAGAATCCCTCTTGCGAAGGTGGCAGCGTTCAGGTGCCCGTGATTCGGTTCTAGCAATGAAATAAAAAAACGCATTAAAAATACTTTGTGTTTATAAGGCATCCCTTAAACAATGCACATCAGAGTTGATTTGAAGCTTTCGCGACTGCAGGAATCCATACTCTTTGGTTCTTCCTACCTACGCGACTTTACCGAAAGAAGCAAAGAGTACACATCAAGAGTGGTATGCATATAAAGGGGGAAGGGATGAGTGCGAATCAACCAGGGAGAGAAAGACTAAATAGACCAGAGAGAGAAGGCCTTTTCAAACAGGTGGTGGGGTCTTAAGTATGGTCAAATAACACCCCCACAGCACATTGGGAAGCCCTCATACAGCAGTGGATTGACAAAAGGTCTGTACCAAGATCCCCGTTATAGCCTTAACAAACCGCTGATTCAAGTGCTGTTAACGAGCACCTATGAAGGCCAGCACGTCACACGAGAGGGGTGGGTGGCAGGCACCACGCACACCGCCTTTGTCACCAAAGTGGAGATGTTTACACACCACACTCTGTACTTATTTGAGACTTGAGTCGAACTAGGACAGGGAGGCACAGGACCGGTTGAGATATTCGTCACTGATATTGGGCGTGAGCGGGAATCGTACTCGGGTCGCCAGGTTCATATCAAAAGCGGTCATTCGCCACCAAGTGGCGGTGACATCTCGACGTCGCTTGTGCCAGGCCAGGTGCAACTCCGAGCCCACGCGGAATCGGAATCGCTACTGAGACTGGAGGAATCCGAGAGGCTACGAAGCTCTTTGCCCACACATGTCCAGTAAGTCACAGATGCCCAGTATGCGACAGGAGAGGTCACGGGACAGACCCAGGTTCCCGTTCGTTGACTTGAGGTGACTGGCGATTTGCACCACGTGTAACGCATGCACACGGGCGGCAGCAGCAGCAGCAGCCACATCTCGTTATGACATCGGGTGGCACGTGAGTGACATCGCCGACCTTTGACCGACATCACCCCCAAGCCACCCAAGCCAACCTTCACACACTTGTGCCGCTCCCAAGGTGCACGGCCGGGACCCTTGCTCCTAATAATCTGCGTCTTATCTCTGCGCGTGTCTTGGCTGTCCGTCCGCACGTGTGTGTGTTTGTCCATGTGTCTTTTATCTCGGTGTCTTGTTGTACACTATGTTAATTTCTGTCTCTCTCATGTTGTATCTGTGTCTCGGTGTATCTATCAGTAGTGTGCCACTCTCTGTTCATGGACTGTATTCTGTTTCTCTATCTCTACCTCTCCGTGTCTATCTTTTTATGTGTCTCTGTGCGTCTCTGTCTCTTACGGTCTCTCTAATACGTTTCTCTGTGGCTATTTCTCTCTTTGTCTCTGTGTGTATGCCTGCCTATTTTTGTGTAGACCCGTCTCTATTTCTCTTCGTGTACTATATATCTCTTTAGCTCTATCATGTCTCTCTGGGCCTGTCTCTCTCTCCCTCTCTCTGTCTTCCTCTGCATCTGTGTATGTCTCTGTCTCCGTGTGTGTCTCTCAAGTGTCTGTATATATCTCACCTCGTCTCCCATGTATGCCTCTTCGCAGACTTCGAAGAGAGCGTTTCACACTCGGTCGTCCTGCCAAAGATAAACAACAACAGCTGTCTGGCTGACAGCAGAGCACGTGCGTCCACATCGGAGGTTTCTCCTCCACATCTCAGGATCTTTCGAGTCGAAGGCACGTTATGATTTAGAACACGCCTGATTTTTGGCAGTGGGTGGTGGGTCAGGGCCCGATTAATCCATACTCTGCTGCACGTTCCGTCGTTTTCATGCAGGGGGGCGCTGTAAAGCTACGCGCACCCCCTGCATGAACGACGGAGTGGCAGGGACAGGCGATCGATCACGTTGGAATCGATCTTCAGACGGCGGTCTTCTCGCACTGCCAACAGCTCCACACGTCGCCTCATCTCCATCCCGCAATCCCCCGAACGGGTGAAAGTCCCGCATCGAACCGAGCCCCCCATCGAACCGAGCCCCCCAGCAAGGCCATCGTCTACTTAACGACGAGAGAAAATTCACACGAAATGTCGTTTTCAATGAAGTCTTCCAGATGTAAAATGATATAAGCTTTTTTTAACGATGAAATAAAATGATCTGATTCAAAACAATACAATTCAAAGATGTTTCGTTTTAAAACGTCCGAGATTTCCCTCTCTTCGACACCCTAACAACCTTCCACCTGGAAGACGAACAATATTACTTACGTGACTTTACCGAAAGAACCAAATAGTATGAATTCCTGCAGTCACGAAAGCTTCAAATATAAACAAATATCCCACCATCACCACCACCACCGTATAGACTTTAACAGACTGTTGGGACCGAGAACAGCACCTATGAAGGTGGTGTGGGTGACCAGCACCACGCCCGGCCGCCTTTGTCTCCCCCAGTGGCGATGTTTACTACACACCGCTACAACAGGTACTCGTTTGAGGCCGAGTCTACCTAGGGGGGAAGCCCAGGACCGGCACCCGGTGTTGGCCGCTACCCCCCCACCACCTCACACACACAAACACACGCGCGTGTGTCTGTGTAGGCTATCCCGGCTAAAGGATGACTCCCAAACGAGACAAAACCTCCACCACCACCGTCTCTGCACCCAGTGTCACCCTGCCCACCTCTTACAGTACTCTACTACTGTATGTGGAGTACAGTGCTATCAACTGTAGCGCACACCCACGTGGCGACCGCCAGGGGGCGCAATAGCTGCGCTTGGTTTACTCATTGCACGTCTGGCACGTTCGCCAGCTCGAACAGAGCCTCACTCTGCTGCTGCTGCTGATGAGACACTGAATGTCGAAACCGGCCCTTTGCCTATAAGCATCTGGGCAGTTCAATCTGGGCAGTTCAACAGAATTCGGTCAAGCAAAGCCCGTCTCTGCTGCCGATGAGACACTGAATGTCGAAGCCGGTCCTTTGCCTATAAACATCTGGGCAATTCGCCAGCATTTGTTAGAGCAAAGCCTGACTGCTGATGAGACACTGAATGTCCAAACCGGTCCTTTGCCTATAAACATCTGGGCAACTCGCCAGCATTTGTTAGAGCAAAGCCCGACTGCTGATGAGACACTGAATGTTGAAACTGGCGCAGAATTCATCCAGCAGTGGAATGAGCATGGCTGACGATGAGTAATACACCACCCAGGAAAATGCATTGTATATCATCATAAGGCATTGTGAGATTTTGATTTAAAGCTTTCGTGACTGCAGTAATTCATATTCTTAGCTCTTTCGGTAAAGTCAACGTGACTTTACCGAAAGAGCTAAGAATATGCATTGTGAGATGTCAATTGTTTCTTGCTGTGGTTGTCCCACCTGATGACGGGCGCTTGTGTTGCGCCAGAAACGTCGTGATTTAATTTATTTTATACCTACGTGACTTTACCGAAAGACCCAAAGAATATGAATTCCTGCAGTCACGAAAGCTTTAAGTCAAGATTGTGAGATGGCCTTTTTAACCGCGTGACATGTCCCGTTGTTTCTCGTACCTCGGTGAACATGGCACGTTGGGCCAACGTTGGTCCAAGGCTTTACAGAACTGATCGAGTGAGCCACGGGGAGACAGAAGACACAGACATTGACAAAAGGCTCGCCAAGAGACACGAAGAGACAAAAGACACCAAGAGAGACACAGGGAGATGATGCATCGATATACAAGAGGTGGCAGATATAGAACACGGCACAGAGACACAGATCGTGAGACATACAGGGAGACATCGACACAAATCACACGGGCACATACACAGAGAGACAGAAGGCACAAACACAGGAAACGCTGAGAAAATGTGCGGAGACATGGAGACATACACGGAGACATACACGGAGACATACATACACGGAGACATACACGGAGACATACATACACGGAGACACTTGCCAAACTCGCATCAATACGAGGCTGCTGTGCACTGCAATTACATTTCTCCCCCAATTTTAAAAGCGGGCCCAAGTGTCAGAAACTTGAGCGAGGGGGGTCAGCACCTGCTGAGTGTGTAAGGTCCCACACCACCACCGCTGACACGAAACGAGTAAGTGACACTGGTGACACTGATTTCCAAAGTTTTATTGCAAAATAAATACACTATGGTACAATCACACTCCACTATGTACAAACGCTCCTCCACAGCTCCCGCTGAACAAGGCACCATATGACTCGCAACCCACGACATATCCTCCTGCCATCCCTCCCTCCTCCTTCAGACAAGCAGAGCCACAGCCAAACTGACCAGTCAGACAACTAACTAGACCACCATCCAGCCAGTCAGACAGCCAACCTGACAGCCAATCAGACAGACAGATAATCAGACAGACAGACAGCCAGTCAGACAGCCAACCTGACAGCCAATCAGACAGACAGCCAACCTGACAGCCAACCAGACAGACAGCCAGTCAGACTGCCAACCTGACAGCCAATCAGACAGACAGATCAGACAGACAGCCAATCAGACAGAGAGACAGCCAGTCAGAGAGCCAACCTGACAGCCAATCAGACAGACAGCCAGTCAGACAACCAACCTGACATCCAATCAGACAGACAGCCAATCAGACAGACAGACAGACAGTCAGACAGCCAACCTGACAGCCAATCAGACAGACAGCTAGTCAGACAGACAGCCAGTCAGACAACCAATCGGACATTCAGCCTGGCCAGCACATGGCCAATATGACAACCAGACGGCAAACCTGGCAATCAGATTGGCAAGCTGAAAACCACATGTATCCAGACAGTCAGTCAGTCAAGCCTAAAAACCACAGCCAACTTGACAACTAAGCATCCAATGAAACAACCAGGCACAACACAACCAGGCAGCCAATATTACAGACAGCCAACTTGACAGGCAGCCAAACAGGCAATCTGACAATCAGATATTCAATCTGACAGGCCAACGTCCAATTTGACAGCTATACATATAAAATTTCAATCTGACAGGCAGCAAAAAAATCTGATACAATGCCAGACAACCAACAACATGTGACGGTCATACCCACCAGACCAACCAAACCAACACAATCACACTCGACAGTCAGACATCGCGACGGACAGACAGGCAAACTCTGCAGCGGAACTCGCGTAACGTGGCAACATAACCTTAATCCATTTACCCGTGCGCAGAACGATCCCCGTGCTCGTAGCAAGACAACCAAAGCTTCCAAAATAGACTTTGTTAATATATACTGTGTGTGTGTATATATACATTCTCTATAGAAGTCTGTGTACAATATTTCTTTTTTTTGTCTTCTCCCCGTCGTCGCCTTCTCGGCGCGTTTAGAAGAGCACGTTTCTCTCCTTTCCTTTCTCCCTCGCCACCGCCACCACCACCACCGTGCAACTCTTTCGCTGTCGTACAATTCGTTTCTAAGCCGCACATTCGACCGACGCACAACTGCCCCAGGCGACCGACAAAACCTATCCCCACCCACACACACACATCCCCCCCCAGTGCAATATTTGTGCGTGGTGTCATTTCCAGGAAGATGTTCACAAGCCGAGCCCGCCGCACGGAGGGCAACAACCCCGTTGCAACGCGCGCAGCGGCTCGCGCTCCGGTTAAATTCGCGCGCGGCTTCACGGTAATTTCCCCCCCATTTTCCCACGCACGCCTGCGTCTCAAATCTCCCGGGCGAGTCAAGACACGCGAAAATGGACTGCGCTACGTCGTGTGTGTGAAGAGTGCATTTTTACCTTTTGGTGTTTAAAAAAAAAAACACAATATATCTTTTTTTTAATATATATTGACCAAAACTTTTAAAAAGTTACCGTTTAGTTATTTCGGTAAAGTCACGTAGAAAAAAAGGATAATAGAACACGAGGTTTCGATTGCAACACGAGCAATCGTCATCAGGTGAGAACTGAATGTCAATTCAAACTGGGAGACATATATACAGAGACACACACACGGAGAGAGACACATTCACTCTCTCCGTGTCTGTCTCTCTCCGAGCTTGAATTTACATACAGTTCTCACCTGATGACGTTTGCTTGTGTTGCAATCGAAACGTCGTGTTCTATTGATTTTATTTTTTTCTTTCTACGTGACTTTACCGAGAGAACCAAAGAGTGATTCCTGCAGTCACGAAAGCTTCAAATCAAGATTGAAGTTCTCGTTTAAATTATTCCAAAGCACATTTCTTACGCAAAAGCATCGTCTTTCCTCCTGCATTTCTTCGAAGTAGAAAAGGAGATTATTCTTGCCGTTTTAGCAATTACGATAAAAGTGTATTTTTTATTTTCATATAAAGTTTCATTACACAAATTGGACTGTTGGGTTTCTCAGTGACAAGTGTCACATTTACAAAGAGCTCAATGGGGCCTTAAACCGATATAAACCGACTGACAAATGTTTATTAAAGGCTGTAGAACAAATTGGACCAAGGTTCAAGTTTATAGTCATCTCAGCAGATGCCACAAAGTTTCCCCGATTGCTCGAGGCGTGGAGGAGCGAATCTATGACCGCCGTGGGGCTCGAAACAGCTGTAGCAGTGCAACACGAACGCCGGTATTCAGATGTTTTTTTTAAATCTTAGCGGTGTGAATATTTTACTTCCCGGGGATTTGACGAGTTGTCGAGATTTAGGGGCTACGATTCAGATTTAGAAGAAATTATCGGGGTGTTGAATTTTGCTAATTTCCCCCAAAATACTAAAATGTGATATTGATGCTTCACTTGCAAAGGGTTCACACCATGCCTGCGACCACTAGAGGCGCTACAATTTAACGTACATCGTGAAAAAAAAAGAATGAATCTATCCTTGAATCAAATTGTGACACTGTACCACGGCAATGTATCACATGTCTACGGGGTAAAAAATAGCTCCAGCCCAAAAGCGATCTTTCAATTTTCTTGTCCAATATTAAACGACTTTATACGCAAGAGGCGAATTTTTACAAGGCCGAGTAGGTTTTTAGTTTCCTTGCTAAACCAACAGATGTTAGTTGACGGAGCCACTGTTATTCCATAGGGGGGGGGGGGGTCTCTTGCTCTCCGAGGGTGGTAGCTGTGCACGTGGCCTGTAATCCAGCAACGTGGAGGGCGCGGGATGGCGGATCACCGCACATTGTAAAACTCGCTTCATGTGTGTGTTCGTCGAGGTGTCAATAACCCTGGCCCCGCCAAGAGAAGACAGTACAGCAAGTTGACCAATCGCCATCCGTTTCCATCTGTACCCAGATAACGTTTCCCCCTCGCACGTGTGGGTTTTATGCGAGTTTCTCCCGCACTCACTCATGGCTGACATCTTCATATATAGAGGGCCACAGAAGCTTGGGCAACTGTTGGTAGTGCCGGCTCATCGCCACGCTGCTGCTGCTGCCCATCTCGCTCGTCTGCGATTCCTCCTCGCCCGTCCGAGTCGTTCCCTCTCTCGTCGAGAGTGAGCGAATCCTGTGCGGTGGCGGCGCGTTACAACTGTATGTATGATTGTAAACGCGCAGACAGCTTTTGTGAATGGAAAAGCCACCCTGGATTGACATATCGGGAGATGTCCAACCCACCTAAACTCAGTGGCTCTCGAGGGGAAGGCATTGCCGTCGAGGGAAGCCACCAATGGCAGAGGTCTCACCCAATGCACTCGTGCTACAACCTGGACTTAAAAGATCGAGTAATTTTTTTGGTTTTCCTGCAAACAGAAACCGCCAAACTACGAAGATTTCCGGGGCCTAACGCAAGCGGAGGGCCGTTTAAGCGCAGGCTGAGAAGACTCCACCGCCACGGTCATTAACAATGCCGAATAGATCGTAGCGAGCTACCAAAATAAGTAAATATATCGACCTCCTCTCTGTATCTCTGCATTAAACTTTAAGTCTATTCGGCTTTTGTGAATTAGGCCACTGGGAAGACGCCAATTCGATTGACTAGATTGTTTTTATTGACTCATTTTTGGTCGATAACAGAGCCCCCCCCCCCCTCTACGCCACGCCGTGTGACGAGACTGATGATGACGTCACAACGCCCTTCCCATCACCTGCCGTCCAGCGGCACACGTGGGAGAGTTGAGACCTGTTCTTTTCCATGAATCGACTCGACGAACTGACAAACGGTTGGGTAATCGATTCCTTGGACAATCGGAGAGCTCGGTCTGGAAGGCCAACTGAGTTTTGAGTTTTCTCCGGAATAAGTCAACACATTCGTCAATAACCCCACTGTGGCCTTTAAAAGATATATAATAAGCGACATTTCGGGCATTGGCACTTCGTAGAACGTAAATCGAGAGGCCGGAGAGACAGAGTGGACAATAAGGTTTGGGGAGTTTACACTATGGGGCGCGATGAGAACGTTCATTGTTGAATGGTTTGTCGGACTCAAATAGCTACCGTGGGTGTAACTATTCATATGGCAATTTAAAACTGTTCATCAGGGAACATTTAAAAACATTTAATCAGGCCCCATGGTGGATCGGTTGTTGTCCTTCCCCCGCACCTCGAAATAGCGCAGTTGGCTACGTACGGTGCGAAAGAAGTTTAGCATACATAGTGCAATCTCCAACTCGATCTCTCTCAGGCCTCTCGAATTACATGCTAGTAAGGGCCATTATCCGAAAGGTTGTCAATTATATATTACTTTCTTTTAAGGCCACAGTGTTATTGGTTAATATGCCGAGTTGTTTTTTGTGTGCGTGTTCACCACTACCAACATAGCATCAGCAGCATCGCAAAATAATTTATACACGAATGGAATTGGTCAAACATTTTTCCCCGATGATGCAGGACCCCCCCCCGCCCCGAATCAGTTGTGAGACTAGACTGGATTTGCCTGGGTAAACAACCGGCATCTATTATTATATTTCTATGCTCAAAGAGGGATTTTGGTCGGCCTAGTGAATCTGTCCCAACCCCAAACTACTAACTACCCACCACCCACCACTACCACTGCTGTGCCCCCCCCACTACCCCCCCCGACTTCCACAACCCCCACCACTACCCAGACCATCCCCCCCCAGCCTGTGTCTGGGGGGGGGGATGGGGCAGGGCAACACAAAAACACAGAGAGAGGCGAGGCCTAAAAGGAAAGGCACAGAGCCGAAAGGAGGCAGGGGGAGCCTCCATGGAAAGGGGTGGGGCTTAAGCAGTAAGGGCGGGGCATTAGGAAGGGGGCAGGGTATGACAAGAAAGAGGTAGGGCATAACGGTGACGGGGGCGGGGCATAATGAGGAAGAGGGTGGGGCACAATGAGGAAGAGGGCGGGGCATAACGAGGAAGGGGCGGCGGCCACAGAGATTGAACGACCTTTGTTGATTTAGGTAATCTTTCTTCATTCGTATTGGCGTTTGAACAAGACAAAAAAAGAAGCCACAGGCTACAAATGTATATTTTTAAGGTAATAAAAAGCATAGAATCAAATATGTGCACGAGGCAGCAGCTTGGCTTTAGTGCTGCAGATGCAGCCACAGGCCAACTAGTTGTGTTTATTACTGCAATTGCACAATGTCACCTTAAAAAAAAAAACAAATTGCAAAAACATGGATTTTTATCTTTCTGCAGTAAAGGAAACGTTAAGTCATTTGCGTTTATAAGACGGTGCTTTTTAGCCATTGCCTATGGAAATGTGGCAGAGTGGTAGCAATCTACCCACGAAATTGAAATGTGGGCTGCAGAGAAAGCATTTTTCATCGACCTCACAAAAAATGAAAATGCCTACAGAGCCACAAGAGCTCACAATGGGCTTTTCTTGCTTCTGTCACGGCCACAATCCCACTGGGGAAATTAGGGGAAAGCCACCCGCAGCAGACCCCCGCAGCAGAATTTTTTCCGATTGTACAAAACGGCAGCTTTCCGAATAAAATCTCAAATCTGATCGCAGCTCCTCCCAAGTGGACAACTAGGGACACAGCCACTTCAGAGGTCACGCAAGTGTGTCCAAATGTCCCACTCAACGCACCGACCTCAAAGGGTCGGCGCACGAGCGGGACGTGGACGGGAGAGAGTTAAAAAGCCTTCTGATTGCCTATTCGGTAAGCGAACTGTTATATATCGTAAAGTACTGTGTTCACCGAGTGACCGACTCAATGACTGCATTAAGGAATGACTCGTCAGGTCTGCAACTTGCTTGCCAAGTTGCCGTAGTCCATCGCGGTTAATGCGTTGCTGGTGACAGTTTCCGCCAACGATTTCCACAACAATTTTCAATAGATCGTGGCCTTAATGATGACTCGAATCAACTGGAAATCATCACATTGTGTGTAAACCAGGGTCCTTTTTTTCACCAGTGTCCTAAGTTTTTGTAAAGAGCTCAGCTGTTAGACAAGGTCAATGTACAAGGCATTATCACTACCATCATCATCATCCTCATCACTCCTATGTCTTCCATCCTGTAAGCTCAAGTCGCATTCACTTTTGAGTTCTTAGTGACCGTCTCGTTTCTGCAAGCCCCCTGCAAATCCAACCCCCCTGCCCCCACCCTCCAATTACGGCTTAACATTTTAAGGGACAAGGTCAAAAGTCAGCGCACAATGTGTTGTCAAGACATCTGTTTAACTCAACTGACAAAAAGGAAAACTCGGGGTTACAGACTTGCATGTCATTCGCCGGCGCTGCCGCCACCACGACCGATTTCCAGTGTAATCACAGTGCGTTAGGAAATCCCACGATACACCACTGTTTCATGGCGTCTGCTGTACCGCGACCTCTACAGTTTTCCACAACAAAGAAATCCGACGTTATTTTTTAAAAGCTGTCGCGAACCACGAATTAACGTTGTACGAGGACAGCCGACGGCATGCCGGACATTAAGATTTTTCGAACATTTTTGGATTGAGTTGTGGGGCTTCCCAATAATTTCCACGTGCGCCACCCACCGACGGATCGACCGACCGTCACCAAACTTGATTGCACTTCACGGATGTCGTCGACATTAGTTCAGAACAGACAGCTCGAAACCTTCAAAGTGCACTTCTGTAACGCCGCTTCAAACACCACATCAGATGGGCTGACATAACAGATCATTATCCTTAGCTTTGTCTACAATACACTGTGCGCTCATCGTTATTTTCGGGGAGTGGGGGGTGGGGGGGGGAGGAGGGGGGCCCAATAAAAAAATAGGGACGGGAAAAAAAATCGAGACAGACCACAGTCGTGCCTTGAAGTCTCATCGCGCGCGCGACACACACACACATAAACGCGTGCTCAGCTTCTCAGAAGCATCATTAGATAGCGCACATTCCTTCCTCCGTTTGCGCGCACATTTCTCTCCGTTTCGTCTTCGGGAGGACGAGGAGGAGCGTTGCCTCCCCACACATGCAAAATAGGCACTCGCTTTCGCACCGTTTTACAGGTTCGCTTAAAAAAAAAAAACACAAACGACGATTTAAAAAACAAAAGAAAAAACGCAAAAAAATCAACGGCAGGTGGATTCCTAAAACGCGAACCCACCCGACGCGATCCACGACGACGACCCCGGCAGGTCGAGCGCGCCTGTTCCCCCCCCCCCCACCTCCCGCGCTCACAAACGCTAGCGTGGCTTTCTTCCTCCTCCCTCGTCGGTGTAAAAACGACGAAGACGACACTCGTCCAAGGCGCCGCCAAAGGTTTCATGAATCCCAAGTCAATTCGGTCCCAGCCCCGGATATCCTGGCGCAAAGAAAGACGCCACACGGTGCCCCCCACCCCCCCCCCCCCAAGACCCATGAACAAAATCCGGCACGCGAGTCCCATGGCTTCGGTTCCAACAGGCCGTGTTTTGAGGGCCCCTTCTAAGCGTACGACATCTAAGAAGAGGGGGAAAAAACCCATGAAGCTGCATGGAGAACGGGTGGCGTAAAAGTGGCAGGTGGGAGCAACGTTGGTGTTTGCATCCCCAAACCCATCGGGACTTTTTTTTTATTATTTTTAGCACCAGGATTTTGTTAAGTCCTTGTCTGCAGGATGCTGAGGAGCCAAGGAGCAAGGGGGTAAAGGATGGCGGCTCAAGAGCTGGCGGTGAAAACGATCCACCCCTCCCCACCACTCTAACGAGTAGCAGACCAATGTCAATAGTGTCGCACGGTCTCCATCCGAACCATTTTACAAAAAAGTTTAGCGTTTAATTTTATTTTAATGTGAGAGGGAACTTCTGCCTCAAGAATGTTAAGTATCGTAATTGGGTTTTAACACCCCATATATACACCAACGCACACGTTCGCTGCGTGGCGTGGGTCCGTCTGATAGCGTGTAAAAACGAACAAAGGCAACAGAACGCCGACTCCATTACAAGGGCAACGGGTGCAATTGTTGACAAAATAATTGCGGGGCAAACATACTGCTCAACTGTTCCACAAAATCAGAACCAACTTGCAGCAGCATCGGATGAAATGACGCAACGAACTTTTTAAAGAAATAGTGGACCGATATGACTTCCGGCCCACGGGCCATAGGCTGTTCACCCCTGGTGTACACCAAAGCAGTCCTTTCAATTTAATTCTATCTTTAGCTCGTTCCCGTGACACAACGCAACAAATTCGCGCAAACAGCGCCGACGATCAAACACGCATCGTGCCAACCTCGTCCCTGCCCAGCCGTAACCCTGGCGCATTCACGTTCAACCCCGGCCCATGGACAAGGCGGCGGCTCTTCTAGTCCAGCCACGTGATGCGCAAACCGGATTCGCCAGGTGAGAGCACCAGCCCCGCCGCCCTGCAAGCACCCTCGTGGGCACCAAGGCCCTCCTCCGGGCTGCCTGAAAAACCCACGTGGTGGTTGGCGGCGTTGGTGGTGGTGGCTTCGCGGAACTTTCGTTCAGCTGCGCTCCCACCACTTACCCCACGTGACATTTTTGTCCATGGCGAGGCTTGTAACGGCATCTTAGAAAACAAAAATGAAAAACGGCAAAAATCTTTTTCACCAGGTTTTTTTTGTTTGTTGAAAAAACGGCGGCGACGGGCGGTGGCTTTCGTTTGTCCCTGCAGAACGCTTCCTCCAAATCCTTTTTTTTGTGTGCAGGGATTTATAAAAAATAAAATAAACAATGGACGTGCAGCAAACTTGCTTGAAATAGTCGAGAATGTTTTTTAACGATACTACAGAAATGAATCGTCGATGCAGGTGGGCGTCGTCATGTCGCTTTTGTCGATGATGACGTTGTAAAGAGGAGGCGTGGAGTCGCAGAGAGGGTAGAGGAGAGGAACAGCGGGATGGGGCGGGGGAAATTTATCGCCGTGTCTGTGCACTCACAAGCGTGCAACAATCACAGCAAAAACGCATTTCCCCGTTATTCACGAACTTCCTATCCGCGATTTTGGCTATCGCCGAATCTCTATCTGGAACCCTACACGACTGCTGCAATCGAGAGAGAAAAAAAGTAATGGGAGAAAGTGATGCGAGATAAAGCGGTGAGATTAAGCGATGACAAGAGTATTTCATGAGAGAAAATGATGAGAGATAAATCTAATGCATTTAATAGCTTATTCACAAATAACCAGGGAAGCACTGTATACAAGGTGTCAGCGCAGAGGAAAAATATACAAACTTGAGAAAGTAATAAACAATATCAATGGGAAATGTACGAATTGAAGATAAAAAAAATATGAAATGTCACGAGAGAGAGAACATAAAAAGTAGAGGAAACGAGAATGAAAACAATCGCATTTTTGATATGAAAATTTGAAAAAAAATGCAGGGTAGTTTTCTACTAATTTTTTTTACAATGTTTTCAAATTAATAAGTTAAACAGAGAAAATACGAATAACCGCCAAATGTGTAAAACTAAAGGGCACACAGATGACAAGAACCCTAGAGGGCGCCGCTGTAATCAGGGGTTCAAACCTGGGTTTTCAACCGACCGTGGTTTAAACCGGGTTCCACAAACTTCGTGAGTTGATGGTCAGCCCTGTAACCAATAGCTGCCAAATAAAACACATCACATGCAAATTGTGACGATCATTTTGGCAAATAAGCTTCAATCAGCGTGCATGGGAAAGTGCCCCCCCTCCTGGGTAGAAGTTAAATTAGCCACTCGAAGGATTTTTCAGATCTCTTCCGCAGCCCGTTCCCAGATAAGCTGAGCCCTAAAGGCAGCTCTGCCAGACTTCCAAACGGATTATTCATCCAATTACTTGATTCCAATAGCACTATTGGCAACATCAAGTAATCTATTCAACAACAACAAAAAATCGCATTAAAAATACAAACAAAAATTTCACCTAAAACACAAAAAAATATTAACCCTAAAGCTCGTCCAAATAAAATTAAATAGAATACATTTCTATTTGATGAAATGTTTCGTAACTCTGGGAGCAGTGAAGAGACACGGCGAGAGGGAAGGAGAGTTCAGTGGTACGTCAGTCTGAGAGGTGCAGAATTTGTTATTATTTTTCAACAACTCTGGAAAATGGAGACAAACGGAGGAGGGGGTTCAGTGGTACGTCAGTCCAGGAGCTGCTCTGATGGTCTTTTATGATTATTATAACAGTTTTTATTATAGTTATCTCACATCTCTGGTAATGGATAGAAACCAGGGGAGGGGAGGGAGGTGGGGAAGTGACCGGGAGGTACGGTTTTTGTGCTTTCTTTTCAGGACAGCTTTTTGTACGTGCATTGTCGCACACCAGCGTGTTGTTAAATGTTTCCTGCAGTAATGGTTATCTTCTGTTTTCTCGTAATTTACAGACTCAAATGATTGTTGCCTTTGGGCAAATGCCAATGAGTGTCCCCCATATTGTAAAGGTGAGTCCTCTTCATATACGAGGCTTCCAGAAACACTGATGTGCCAAAAAACGGTCTACGTTCTTCTCCATGTTTAAACGCTACCTATGGGAAGGGCCACATATCCTCAACTCTTTCAACTGGTGGTCTCGCGTAGTGGCCCTGGTAAGAATAGGGACATGGGGGGGGGGGGGAGTTGGTGGTGTGCTGTGTCAATCTAGGGGGTGTCCAGTATTTTCTACCTTTAAATAGCAGCTCCGGCATTGTAGGAAGGTTTAGTGGTACCATCGGTCAGGTGGTAAGGTGGTGAGTTTTCTTATCAGCTCTGGTACTGAAGACAAGATGCATGAAAAGACACAGCGATAGTCGAGGCACAGGACAGGGAAGACACACGAGAGGGAGGGAGGGGGGCAGGAGGATCCGTGACTGGCGGTACGTCAGTCCGGGAGCGCTTTGATAGTGGTGGAGATACATGGCGGGGGGCGGGGGGGGGGGAGACGTGTGCGAGGGGACACGGCGGGCTGGTGGATGTCAGTCCTGGAGAAGCGCTGAGTTTTGGCCGCAGCTCTCGATAGTGGTGGAGTTACACGGGGTGGAGGGCACGGCGCGAGGGCTGGTGGTACGTCAGTCCGGGAGGTGCTTGCGCGGGCTCCTGTGGGCTCGGCTCGAGCGGCGAATGTCGTGCTTGGCCTCCCGGCATGGCTGGCACACGAACACGTCCGGCACGTTGGACTTGCGGATCTTGGCGCAGTAGAGGTGCACCCAGGTACCGCACTCGCCGCACTCGATCATCGGCCGCCCGGCAAACGGCTTCATGCAGTAGCACGTGATGAGCTTCCACGACGCGTCGTCTGCTTTACGACGCCGGCGCCGTTGTTGGCAGTGGCGGCCCGGGGGGTTGAAGAGCCGGCGAGCGGGTGACCGGGTGGGAGGGAGAGCGGGCAGGCGATGAATCATGGCGGGTGGACGGCAAGGGGTCGTGCGGCGGATGAGCGGTGGTGGTGGTGGCGGCGGCGGCAGCGATGGGAGAGAATTGGGGAGAGGAGTGTGGGAGGGAAAAAAAGTAAATAAGATTAGTCATCACGCCAACGATGGTTACAGCTGAAGGTTTTTTCGGTTGTGCTGTTCATTGCTCGCCCAACTTCCCTTCGGGTTGTACCAGCACCACACCGCCCAACAGCCGCTTTCTCGTCACTCTTCTATCGGCCATTTCCACGGTCACCCTCCCACGAGCTTCGCGCCTTGTCCAAACTCCGCCAACGTCGAGAGCTCGTTCTACCCCTCCTCGACCACACCGAGTCGCCTACCGCCGCCGCATGACGACCACCCCCGCATCCGACTTTCCCCCGCACTACTCGTCCTTCCCGAAGACCCTCCCCCCCCACCCCGTCGTCATCCCTTACCCCACAGCCTCGCTACGTCCGAGAAAAGCGCGATATTCCCCATCATGCAGTTCTGCAGCCTGTCCTCCTACAACGCGGCGGCAAGTAGTTGTCTTCCTGACGAACGCCGCGTCACGGAAAGATCGCGTTATAATAATAAACGATGTAGATGTAGACTAAAGCACAGCCCACGATCACACGCGAGATGCATACGCAGTTCGAACAAAAACTGAGGCGCACGCGTGGGTGGCCATCGACAAGAATCCAGCAGCATCCCGCCTTGTGCGATGCTATGCCGAGGCAGCCGTACGACCGCTTATTCCTACCAGCGCAACGTAGTTTCCGTTCGCTCGATCGTGTTATATCCAATTCACATCGGCGTTATAAAAAAATTGTATCCCCCCCCCCCCCACCCCCAAAACATTAATCGTGCTGTATCCAATTCGTGTTGAGAAAACCACACACGTTTACAGGAGAACTGATGGTACCAGTAGTGCTGTCAGTCGCTGCCCCGCTTTTACATTACAGACCCTTGGCATTGCGTTCAGCAACGCTGATCAAAACAAACAGACCAGCCGACATCCCCGCCAGCCGAGAGAAATTCCCCATTATACGCCACCAAGTTCAAAGAGGCCGCGCTTTCCACATTTGTTTTGAGGCGGTCGATAGACTGGGGGTGGCTATGCGTAGAGGCGCTGGTCCTCTGCGTAACTGGGATTTAATGTTAATCCACTCAAGCACAGCAAGTTCCCTCCCCCCCCCCCCCCACCCACCACAGGCGCCTGGAACACATTTTACTGAACATCTCTGAAATACTGGACGTGTGAAAAAGAGCTTTGTAGCTCAACGGATTGCTCCAGTATTAATAAATATTCTGATTCAGATTTTGTTCCTCGAAACGGGAACTGTGCCATAGCATGCACAGGTGCAAGGCTGTCTATGAATCCACTGCCGGACAAAATGGCCTGGCGCACGCACGTGCATGCACACGCACGCACGTGCATGCACACGCACGCACGTGCATGCACACGCACGCACGTGCATGCACACGCACAGACTCACTTTCACACACACACAACAATGACAAAGGCCCCCCCCCCCCCCCCCCCCCCGTATAGCCTAAACAGACTGTGGAGCAAGTGCTGTTAGCGAGCACCTATGAAGGCAGGCAGGGCACGCGAAGGGGGTGGGTGGCCAACACCACGCCCGGTCACCTTTGTCTCCCTCGTGGTGATGTTTACACACTGTACCAGTATCTCATTTGAGGTCGGGTCGACCTAGCCCACGGCCGGTTCAGATAATTGTCACCGGTGTTGGCCGTGAGCGGGAACCGAAGTCGGGTCGCCGGGTTCGTAGTGCAGCGCGCTAACCCACTGCGCTACCACTACCGCTCCCCCACACACACAAACACACGAATATTAAATTTCACAATCGTTTACCAATCCACTGCTGGATTTTGTTTTTCACAAACGGCCCCAGCACCTCGATTGCCGTCATTAATCAGCAACGCGAGCCCCACGGTCTTCCTCCTCGACGTGACACACACGGAGCCCTCTGTTCTTACCGGAGTCCACCATAATGTCTTCGTCGTCCTGGTCCCGGTAAGCCTTCACCTTCGACTTCTTGCCGCACGCCCTCAGCCCCGGCATTTTCCTCGCCAACGACGTCCTCGTTGTCGCCGCCTCTGTCCTCTTGGGCACCGCCCTCACCTCGTCGTAATCGACGTCGTCGAGATCGTCGTCGTCGTCGTCGTCAAAGTCCTCATCGTTCTCATCAAAGTCCTCGTCGCCGCCGTCTTCGTCGGCGTCCTCTCGTCTGGCGACTCGCGGCAGCCGGAGCCCGCAGGATCGCTCGCGCGCCAGGATGGCCTCGATCTCTCCGTCCGTGTCGAGTTCCGAGGTCGATTCGGCGCCAGCGCCTCCATCCCGGCCGGCGACGTCGCCCTCTTCGCCGGCATCGTCGTCAGCGACCGGCTCCGTTTTGATGGCCTGAGCCAGCGCGGCGGCCGCCGCCGACGCAAACGCTTTGGCCGCGGCCATCTTCTTCTCGTCCTTGGCCGCCGCCGCCGCCGCCGACGTCGTCTTTGCGGTTGCACTGGCGGCCGCCGCTTGTGCCGCCGCAGCTGCCGCCTTCAGCGTCTTCGCCTTCTCGGCCTTCTTCTTCTTCTTGCTCTTCTTGACCTTCTGCTTGACGGGCGACATGGACAGTCGCGCCTGCGACTTGTGCTTCTTGACCGCCGGGAAGTGGCGGGCATTGCTGCCGCTGCTGCTGTTGCTGCCATTGTTGTTGTTGCTTCCGCCGCCTCCCAAGCCTCCTCCTCCTCCACCTACACCGGCTCCTCCGCCCCCTCCTCCTCCATTGCGGTGGTTGTGATGGTGGTTGCGGTGGTTACGGTGGTGGCGGTGGTGGTTGCGATGATGGTGGTGCCTGCGGTGAGCAAGCGAGCCGTCCGCCTTCGCACGACGGACGCCATCGCCGCCCTTTCTGCCGCCGCTGGCCCCGTTGCTCGAGGGCTGCGTCGCGGGGGGCCCGGGGCCGTGCCCCTGGCCCTGCCCCTTGCCCACGGACAGCTTGGGCTTCTTGGGGGCGCTGCCCTCGTGGGTTTGGGGGCCGGGGGAGCGGGCCGACGTCCAGCTGTCCCCGTCCAGAGAGCTGTCCGTGGTGCTGACGCTCAGGGCCGCGTTCACGCTCCCACCCTGGGGAGAAAAAAAAAGGCGCCGCTCGTTCCCTCAGCCCACTCGCAAAGCCTCCCTTTCCAGGCGACGAGAACAAATGGCTCAGTTCCGTCGGTATCCTTTGTAAAGTCTCTCTTGTTCGTTATGCCCGTCTCAGAGGAAAGGTCTGTAATTTGTATCCTGTCCCATCTCGTCGTGTCATTTTTGTCCCGTCCATCTCGTTGCGTCTTTTTCATTCGTAATATCTGCATTGTTTGGAAAGTACATATTGTCTTCTGTTTGATATATATCTATATAGCCTGTCTCATTTGTTCTGTATAGTCCACGTCATTTATTCATCAGCCTAAAGCTACGTCATATAATTTGCATGCACAGTGCTTTGAAATACGTGTAAACAATTGATTCTTAAACACACACACACAATTCAACGAGACATATCACTGGCACAAGAATCGATGTTAAATTGCCGAATCATTGCATCACTGGCAGTCAATCGGGGAGGTGCTGGCAGATGCTCACTTCGTCGGGGTGTGGGATGTAGCCAGCGTAAGCCAACACAAACGTGCAGAACTGGTTGAAGTCCTCCACTGTGCGATGACGCTTGGTCATAATGGAAGTCTGCGAACAAGAACAAAAAGCGTAAACACAAATCGGCAAATGACTCCAGCTTCCAATCCATGTTTTTTTTTATCCGAGTGTCGTTTATTGTAAGACCACAGTACACAGAATATTCGCTTTGGGTTCTGATTTGGCAAAATAGCGGCCGGCGCTTGCTTTTTTTTTTATTTGTGTTCGACCAAACAGAAGTTTGAAAATAAAAGTCAAGCCGAAATTTTGGAACGTGGCCAGCATCAGCCCGCGGTTGAGGAAGGGAGTGCAAAGGGTGGAGTCATCAGTTGTGAGTTGGATCAAGTGGGCGGGGTCCCATGACTGGTTTCAGAGATCATCTGCCACTGATGTTAGCCGTGGCCCGGGAATCGAACTCGGGTAGCTTGTTTTTAAAGTGCAGCGGGATAATACACTTCGCCACGAACTCCACCCACTCCAAACCTATGGATATGGCCACAATATTAAACTCTTTCGCAAATCACCAGGTTTCCTAAAGAATGGAGGCCAGATATAAAATATTATTCCAGTGTCTGCTTTTGCACCAATTACATGTGCGATATAAAGTATTCCTACGCAAATTGGATTGCAAGATGGTAAGAATTTTGAAAATAAAGTTCCGAATCTCAATGCTCCATTTCATATTTTAATTGCCCAAATCATTATATTAAGTTTGCGAGCTTTCCAAGGCCCATGTTTAAGCTTTACATCTACACTGTCCGTAACGGCACTTCATTATCACCAGGAATGACAATTTAGTTATTATTCCTGAGGATGATGAAGATGATGACGACAATGATGACGATAACATGAAAACAGTCATAGCGACGATGAGACCGTCACTGCTGCTGTCCCGTACCTTGTAATAAGGAGCTTCGCATTACCACCAGCGGCTCAACTGCAAGTACTGTACTGTGACCTTTGCCTTTGGGGAGATATATGATGAACCCGCATGGACAGAATCAAAAATATAAATATATCGAATGGACACGTAATGGGACTGAAGATCCGTTTGGCCTTGAGATATTGCTGTGAATTAACAGGGGTGGCTATACAAACATTACCCTCCAGATTGCCTTAATCTCTTACATCACCTCCAACATAACTTACAAAATCACGTTAACATTTATTTATTCTATTCGGGTTATTTAATTAATTTAATATGATGTATAACTATTTCTACAAAAGTGTATTGAGATACATCGTGCACAGTAATTTACAGTGGCAAAATTGTTAACACACTGGATTTGCAATCCAGGGATCATTGATTCAATCTCAAGGCGCGGCGGTTGTAATAATGGTGAAAGTTTCTTAAATCTTCCCACCTCTGTCCATCCAGAAGTATACATTGGTTGAACCCGCAGAGTTAGTTGATCGGCAGGTCGCGCATGGTGGGGAAAAGTGTGGGTATTCCCACCCCCTTCCAAAAAGGGTCTGGCCGGCGTGGAACAGCGGACCAAAAATACCCTCTACACTGATGATCTAAGATCTCTCTGCGGTGGAGGCTCTCCTGCCAGCAGTGCTGTGCGCAAGCCATTGCAGGGCTGCACATTTACCATTCATGCATCTTATAATTAATATAGAATATGATTACAGCTATATTCTGTCATACGTTGAAAACAGCAAAGTGTTTTTTTTATTAAATTGAAAGTGCGATGCTCTACACATTAACAGCTCATTAAAATAAAACACGTTGCCAGGCTGTGATAATTTAAAGAACTGTAATGTAATGTTTTGTTATATTGCAGAACCAGAAAATTACAACATCTTGGGGAGGCCTTCATCCAGCAGTAGACTGATTATGGCTGCTGATAATGATGATGAATATACGATTTCAAATCCAATTTAATCTGATTTACAGCATCAGCACCACTGAGACTGCCATCACCAGATCAATTCAGCACCATCATTCTCTCAAACAAAACATACTTCACTATCATGAGATCTACCTCCATCTTAATCATCAGCACCATCACCACTGTAACCATGACGATCACAAGACCACCACCCTCTATCCCCATCTACAACACCACTACCAGATCGTGACCATCTCCTTCATCACCTTCACCACTGCCTGTGACCACCACCAACCCCTGGACATATATCCTATCGCCTCCACAATGAAAGGTAACACCAACCACGACCATTTGTATCATCACGACCACCATGACCACTACCTCCATTACCTCCACAACAGAATCTCCATGACTGCCTCCTCCTTGGCTATCACCATTGTCATCACAACTACCTCCACCAAATAATATCACCACAATAACCATCACATCCATTATCACCAATGCGAATACGCTGGTTCATAATCCTGGAACTCCCTAGTAAGCAGCATTGTGGGAAGGGGAAACTGAAACTAAACCAAACTTTTAATTTTACCAGGTAAAGCCCACTTGAGCTGGTTCGCTCTTTTTCAGAAGCAACCTGGCCACATATGACAACTCAACGAAGTAGCTTATCATGTGAAAATGTATAGCAGCCAAACACTCTAAACACATCTTGATTCTAAATGTGGAGGGAAAAACGGGAGTACCCGGAGAGAAATCCACGCGACCACTGGGAGAACATGAATACTCCAAGTGTACAGGCGTTAGGGTCAGGATGGAACCCACGACCTCCTATGTACCAGGCGAGGGGGCTAACACAGCAGTTCAAGGGGACGGCCCAGCACCACCACCTTCTCAGCACAACTCGGGATGGGAAACAAATGCTGGATTACTGTCGATGGCCACATCTCGAAGAAGAATAAAATAAAAATCGGTCATCCCCAATATTGTAACCACAACTTCCAATATAGTCAGCGCAATTTTCAACTCTCATCGATCAACTACCGCAACTTACACCACTGCCACCTCCACACCTCCGATTAGCACGGTTGGCTACATATGGTGCAAGAGAAGTTCAACATACATACAATCACCATTACATCCATAGTCGTCACCAACACCACTAACTTGACCACTTTTAACACCGCCCACAAATTTCCCCTTATCGCCACCTCGATGACAACGGTAACCTTCATATCACCCAACTCATCCGACACCAACACCAGAATAGCTGTCACATGCATTTCATCTACCATGGCCACCACCTTCATCAATTCCATCTTTTCCACGAACACAATAGCTATTCCATCCTTATCACCACCAACACATTCATTATCTTAATTACCAACCACCAATTTAACCATCACCACTAAGATTCATTATCACCTCCCATCAACACCACGTTGACACCCCTAACCACCTCGATCACCTCTATCACCACTACAATAACCATGACATTCTCGTCAACATCACCACCGTTACTACATCAATCATCTTCACTACCAACATCAAGCCTTCCATCATCACAAATGATAATCTCCACCATTATTACGAACAACACATACCACCACCATATAATTATAACAACCAACACATCCATTACCACTACCTCCAAACACCACGGCCTTCATCCCCACCACCTGCATTACAAACACCACCAATCTGATGACCACCTTCATCATAAAAGACGAAGATCCCCCATATAGCCTGAACAGACTGTTGGAGCAAGTGCTGTTAGCGAGCACCTATGAAGGCTGGCATGACTCACGAGGGGGTGGGTGGTCAACACCACGCCCAGCCGCCTTTGTCTCCCCAGTGGTGATATTTTACACACCAGGTACTCATTTGAGGGTGAGTTAACCTAAGGGAGGCCCAGGACCGGTTCAGATAATCATCACTGCTGTTGGCCGTGTGCGAGAATCGAACCCGGATCGCTGGGTTCATAGCGCAGTGCACTAACCGCTAGACACAACCTTCGTCACTAATACTTTCAACACATACATGTATTACCATCACCATCTTGACCACCATTAACATGACTCCCTCCATCATTAACGTTACGACGACTACCTTCATCGCCAACACCTCCACCACCTCAATGACCACCATCTCCATCAGAACCACGACTTACTTTACCACCATGACCACTAATCCCATCATTAACACCTCCATCAGCAATTACACCACCACCACGACCAGAACCTCTATCACCACCACCACATCCATCACCACCATGACATTTAGCTCCATTAACCATCACTCGCTACATCACCACCATTAATTCCATCACCATTATCAACCACCTCTGTCACCACCACCGCCATCTACATCACTATCTCTCCTTCATCACCATGGTCAATGTTATCGCCACCATGATTACCACCACTACCTCCATCATCACCACCATCACTGCCTTCATCACCATGACCTCCAACGCCATCGCCACTGTGACCATCATCAACTACCAACCTCATCACCGTAATGACCACCACTACTACCACCACCACCACCTCCTCCACTTTGATTTTTACCACTATGTCTCCCGCTTCCACCATCATGACCACCACCACCACCAACCTCCACTATCGCCATCATCACCACCATCATCACTCACCGCCACATCACCGCTACCACCATCACCGCACAACCAAAGAACTTTTCAGACAACTCGCACACCAATATCTTTCATGCATTCGTTTTCAATCCGACATCCCAATAAACCGAGGCGTTAACGGAGTTGCCGATGGTGGTGGTTGGTGGCGGTGAGGAAGTAGTTCTGGATCCAACACGAACACCACCACTAACCACCATGAATCCACTGCTGGATGAAGAAGGCCTCACCAAATCCGCCCTTACCGCTCGCACAGTTCTACTACGACGCGCAACAACGACAGTCCCGTCAGTCGCCAAAGCACCTTTAACTACCCAACCCACCCCGACTGAATACCGAGGAGAAACAAACAAACAAAACAACAAAAACAGAATACTCCGCAACACTCACCTCGCCGTCCATGGCAGAACATGTGTCCGATCCTGCAAGAGACACGGAGAGAGTAGGAGACGGGACGGGGAAGTGGAGAGAGAGAGAGAAACGCGCAGTGAGACACCAGGGAGCTCGATCGCCATGCCCTGCCTCAAACCAGACCCCAACGGGGCCCGGGGGTCGAGACTACTCCGGGCTCGCTCACCCCCCCCCACACACCGACACCGACCCCGGACTCCACCACCCCCCCCGGGGGGCTGAGGCGACTTTCCCCGGGCGGGCCGCCTCAGGCGAGGCCGAGGTCGCGGTCCCCCCCCCCCCCCAGTCAGGGCCGCGCGGGTGACGATTCGGAATGGAGTCGCGCAAACGGCGACTCGGGATTTCTGTTGTTGTTGTTATTGTTGTTGTTTTATCTCGCACGGGCAGAAGAGAGGCGGCGACTTGTCTCTCTCGCGTCGCATTTAGCCGCCCTGTCGGGTACGGCGGCGGCGGCGGCGGTAGGAGGAGGAGGCGAGGGGACACGAGAGGCGGCGGAGAGACGCGGGGAGGAGAGAGGGGAGAGACGCGGGGAGGAGAAGCGCCACCCACGGTGTATGGTGGACCGCGGCTAAGGAGACGAAATCAAAAGGTCGGGGTCCCCTGAGGAGCCTGGACATAGCGGTCTGAACCCCCGTCTCTATGAGTCGAGACCCTTGGTAGCCAGCACCCCTCCTCCTCCTCCTTCCCGGATCCTTAGGATGGGCCAGGTCTAGCAGCCGCGAGCTCCGAGAACCTGCTGCTGCTGTTGCTGCTGCTGTACATGGTGGAAGGGGGAGGGATGTCTGGTCGTCGAGGTCGAGGGGAGCAGATAAAGGAGCCGAGAAGAGCCAGGACCACCACCACCACCCCCCCCCCAATCCACCCCGCACCGACAGCCAGGAGGCCGCGGCTTCCCGAGAGGTCCGCGGGCCGCCGCTGGGAATCCTCGGCGGCGACTGCCGCCACGCGCCGTGCAAGCGACGGGTCCCCGTGAGCCCGAGATGCCCCTCGCAGTCGAGACCTCCACCACCAACACCACCACCACCACCCCACCACTACCCCACCACCACTACCACCACCCCACCACTACCACCCACACCACCACCACCACCAACACCCCCCAACACCACCACCACCACCCCACCACCACCACCCACACCACCACCACCGAGAACCAGGACCGAGGATCCCACCCCAAGAGCCAGAAGCGATCGTCGACCACCGTGAGCCGCGGCCTACGAAACAGCGAACACGGCGGCGGCGGCAGCGGCGGCGTGGGGGTCCACGAGCCGGGAGCCATGATGAGCCTGGAACCCAATCCCGGCTACAGAGTGCCTGCGATTACCGAGAAGCCAGGAGGCATACGTAGAAGGCTGAGCCGAGGGGATTACACACCTACACCCCCTTCCCCTTCGTCCCCTTTGACAGCCGGAATCCCGAGAGCCACCGACGTTGTTGTCGAACCCTACCCAAGTCGGGATCGCCCGAGACACGAGACGCAGCAGCCAAGGGGGGGTGGTGGGGGTGGTTGCGGCGCCCACTTCGGCGAGCCGGAACCCCGCGAGTCGACCCCCCCCCCACCACCTCACCCCTCTCTCTGTGGGACTTGACGACGGCTCACACACAGATAGACACGCGAGAGAGGCGGAGGGAAGGATCGAGAGAGGGGAACGCACCGGAGGAGAAGCCCGAAGACATGCTGATGATGGCCGCGAGCTGCGAGTCCGGGGTGCGGCGAGGTCTCGGGGAGGAGGCCGCGCGGCGAGCGGATCGGAGCGCGGCGGAGGGGACGGAGCTGACGGTCTCCCCCGCCTCCTGCTCCGCCTCCTCCAGATCCCCCTCCTCCTCTCTCCTCCAGCCACTCTCCCTCCGTGTGCACTCCTCACCGCTTCGCTCTTCCTCAAGCTCCTCCTCTCCTCCAGCTCCTCCTCTAGCTCCTCCTCTCCTCCTTCAGCTCCTCCTCTCCTCCTCCAGCTCCTCCTCTCCTCCTCCAGCTCCTCCTCTCTCCTCCAGCTCCTCCTCTCCTCCTTCAGCTCCTCCTCTCTCCTTCAGCTCCTCCTCTCCTCCTTCAGCTCCTCCTCTCCTCCTCCAGCTCCTCCTCTCTCCTTCAGCTCCTCCTCTCTCCTCCAGCTCCTCCTTCAGCTCCTCCAGCTCCTCTCTCCTTCAGCTCCTCCTCTCCTCCTCCAGCTCCTCCTCTCTCCTCCAGCTCCTCCTTCAGCTCCTCCTCTCTCCTCCAGCTCCTCCTCTCCTCCTTCAGCTCCTCCTCTCCTCCTTCAGCTCCTCCTCTCCTCCTCCAGCTCCTCCTCTCCTCCTCCAGCTCCTCCTCTCTCCTCCAGCTCCTCCTCTCCTCCTTCAGCTCCTCCTCTCTCCTTCAGCTCCTCCTCTCTCCTTCAGCTCCTACTCTCTCCTCCAGCTCCTCCTCTCCTCCTTCAGCTCCTCCTCTCCTCCTTCAGCTCCTCCTCTCTCCTCCAGGTCCTCCTCTCTCCTTCAGCTCCTCCTCTCTCCTTCAGCTCCTCTCTCCTTCAGCTCCTCCTCTCTCCTTCAGCTCCTCCTCTCCTCCTTCAGCTCCTCCTCGCCTCCTCCAGCTCCTCCTCTCTCCTTCAGCTACTCCTCTCCTCCTTCAGCTCCTCCTCCAGCTCCTGTCCTCTCCTCCAGCTCCTCCTCTCCTCCTCTCTCCTTCAGCTCCTCCTCTCCTCCTCCAGCTCCTCCTCGCCTCCTCCAGCTCCTCCTCTCCTCCTTCAGCTCCTCTCTCCTTCAGCTCATCCTCTCTCCTCCAGCTCCTCCTCTCTCCTTCAGCTCCTCCTCTCCTCCTTCAGCTCCTCCTCTCTCCTCCAGCTCCTCCTCTCTCCTTCAGCTCCTCCTCTCTCCTTCAGCTCCTCCTCTCCTCCTTCAGCTCCTCCTCTCCTCCTTCAGCTCCTCCTCTCTCCTCCAGCTCCTCCTCTCTCCTTCAGCTCCTCCTCTCCTCCTTCAGCTCCTCCTCTCTCCTTCAGCTCCTCCTCTCCTTCTTCAGCTCCTTCAGCTCCTCCTCCAGCTCCTGTCCTCTCCTCCAGCTCCTCCTCTCTCCTCCAGCTCCTCCTCTCCTCCTTGAGCTCCTCCTTCAGCTCCTCCAGCTCCTCCTCCAGCTCCTGTCCTCTCCTCCAGCTCCTCCTCTCCTCCTCTCTCCTTCAGCTCCTCCTCTCTCCTTCAGCTCCTCCTCTCCTCCTTCAGCTCCTCCCCCTCTCCTTCAGCTCCTCCTCTCCTCCTCCAGCTCATTTTTTTACGATCAGAGGAAACAAGAAGATGCTCGGTGTAGTCGGCACTTTGCTTCGTTCATCATTTAGGTTTTTTTAATGCTTTGCTTTATGTAACCCCCCCCCTCCCCTTTTTAAATGAAAGATTTAACAAAATATTTATCGCACTGCTCTCCTTACCCCTTCCCGCTCTCTCTCTACCCCCCTCTCTCTCTGCCCCCCTCTCTCTCTACCCCCTCTCTATCCTACTCCATGTCGCTCTCGCTCTCTCTCGCTCACTCTCTCTCTCGCTCTCTCTCACTCTCCCTCTTGATCTTTTTTTATATAACTACGACAATTGCTGCATCTGCACGCAGCCCTCCTCACAGTCAAACGGCCTCCGACGGGTAGCTCATATCTGCATGCAGCGCTCTCCGTCATCTGCCACCGAGCACACGGCCTCCTCCAGCGCCCACTGCTCCTTGAAGGCCGGCACGGCGTGGGTCAGCCGCGCATGGCGGAACTCCAGCCACACCCTGGCTCCGACCAGAGTGCGGAAGATGCCCAGGCTGCTGGCCGGACGTTTCTCCTCCAGGGCCACCTTCCTCGCCCTGTATATGGCGAGCTTGGCGTAGCCAAAGAGCACGTTGACCAGCCCCTGAAGATGTTGGGGTCCGTCGACCTTCGGGTATCCAAAGATGAGGACCGTCGGGGAGAATTGGAGGCTGAACCTTAGGAGGATGTTTCTCAGGACCTTGAACAGCGAGTCCAGGCTCTTGCACTCCACGTATTGGTGCGCCGTCTCCACTTTACCGCAGAACCGGCACTCCGGGGACGTGTCGGTGAAGCGCGCCAGGGAGGCGTTGGTGGTGACGGTGCCGTGGGCGATGCTCCAGCTGAGCGTATCCCAGCTTCGCTCTTCCTCCAGCTCCTCCTCTCTCCTCCAGCTCCTCTCCCTCTGCCTACTCTCACCGCTTTGCTCTTCCTCCAGCTCACCTTTCCTCTTCCAGCTTCTCTCCTCTTTTCCAGTTCGCCTCTTCCCTCCTCCTCCTCCTCCAGCACGATCCCTCTCTCCAGCTCCTCTACCTCGTTCTCTACTTCCCCCTCCCCGGCTCCTCTTCCCCCCCCCTCTTCCTTCTCTCCGCCACCAGCTCCTCCTTTCTCTCATTTTTTACGATCAGAGGAAACAAGAAGATGCTCGGTGTAGTCGGCACTTTGCTTCGTTCATCATTTCGTTTTTTTAATGCTTTGCTTTATGTAACCCCCCCCTCTCTCTCTCTACCCCTCTCTTCCTACTCCATGTCGCTCTCTCTCTCACTCTCTCGCTCTCTTTTTTATAACTACGACAAGTGCTGCATCTGCACGCAGCCCTCCTCCCCTCTGCTCAATTCTCTCCGCCTCCGATCTCCCTCTTTTTTAACTCTCACTTTTCCCGCCCTTCCCCTCTCTCTCCTACTTTCCACCTTCTCCTCCATGGCCGCCTCCTTTCACTGCTCACCTCCGCTTCTCTCTCTCTTTTGCCCCTCCTTTCTCCCTCCCTCTTCTCCCGCTCCTCCTCTTTCCCCACCTCAGCCCGTGCCTCCTACTAAGTCTGTCAATCCTGATGGGTGGTGATCTTAACTCCTGCTGACGATTGTTGAAACTTCCACTGCTGCTGTTCTACTGCACCTGATATAAGGGGCCGTCAATAAATGACGTCACGCACCTAGGGGGTGGGGGTCAGACATTTGTGACGATGTGTGACGAGGGGGGGGAGGTTTGAGAAATGTGACGTCACATCAAAATGAGCAACTTTAAATAAATATAGACAACACGTTCTACTTAATTAAATAGACTTTTTAATAAATGTTTTCTCCAACATCAGAGTGCAGCACCACATTAAATACGTACTACAATGACAATAGTTCAAAGATAATTGAAGCATGTTTTATTTTTGGGGGGGGGGGGCAGAGCTTTGTGACGTCATATTTGATGGGGGGGTCTGACTTTTTGTGACGCCGTGTGATGAGAGGGGGGGGGTCAAAAATCGTCCAAAATCGCGTGACGTCATTTATGGATGGCCCCTTAAAAAAAACCTCTAGCCGTGTCTCCTGCTGCCGTGCTTCTTCCTACTCCTCGTCCCTTCTGCCTCCTGCTTTCTGATGTTGCTCTTACAAACTCTGGTTTCAACTTGACCCTCCCGCGACTGCTGCTCTTCATCCAGATGCTCGGCTGCTGCTCCTCGTGGTGCTACTGATGCTATATCTGCTGCTATATCCTGTGCCCTGCAAGCTTCTGCAACTGCACTCAAAAGACGTGCAGTGGCGTAGTAGCGTAAGTTGGTTGGCATTCGCCCTGGTGTAATGAATGAAAACAATGGGTACAAGTTTCTACCTCTCCGCACGTCCAGCCAGCGGTATAAATGGGTTCACCGCGGTTATAGGGGCCGTCCATAAATGACGTCACGCGATTTTGGACGATTTTTGACCGTCGTCACATGGCGTCACAAAAAGTCAGATCCCGCATCAAATATGACGTCACAACGCTCTGCCCCCCCCCCCCCCCCCGAAAAAATATAAAACATGCTTCAAATCGCTTTAAACTATTGTCATTGTAGTGCGTATTATTGGTAGGAAACGTAGTGGACTGGAAGCCCAACCGGGATTAATTCACAGGAGGCAGGGGATTAATTGTGTATGTCTGTGGATGTCTGTCTACGTGGGAGGGGTGGGGCTGGGTGGAGAGGGGAGGGTAGGGAGGGGCTGGGTGGGGAGGGGCTGGGTGGGGAGGAGAGGGTGGGGAGGGTGGGGGGTTGGAGGGGTGGGGCTGGGTGGGGAGGGTGAGGCGGGGTGGGGGGGTGGGAGGGGTGGGGCTGGGTAGGGCAGGGCAGGGTGGGGAGGGGCTGGTCACCCCGTGATGCCCTTATAAAACTCAACATTGAACCTACTCACGCCAGCTTGTGCCCGCCCTCAGTCAGGCATATTTGCGGAATACACCACGTGGTGCCGCCGTTGACCCTGGCCACTGACCGAGCAACCCAACGTTCCTACCAGCCCCGTCCACAGGAATGTGTTAATGTGGCGCTGCACTCTGATGTTGTAGGAGAAAACATTTATTAAAAAGTCTAATTAAGTAGAACGTGTTATCTATATTTATTTAAAGTTGCGCATTTTGATGTGACGTCACATTTCTCAACCCCCCCCCCTCATCACACATCGTTACAAATGTCTGACCCCCCCCCCCTCCAGGTGCGTGACGTCATTTATGGACGGCCCCATACCGCAGTCCATCGGCAAGGGTCGTCTGGTGGGGCGTTGTTGTGGATCATTGTTCTTCATTAATTTGTCTGATGCGGGTAGGCACTTTCGCCGAAAATACATCATCAGTGTGTGAGGGCCGCCGCACATTTGACACCATTGGAGTTTGACGGCACGATGGGGGGGGGGGGGGGGGGTTCTCACATGTTGTTGTGTATTGTGGGGGGCCACACGTCAAGAGCCACACGAAAGGCCACCAGGGGCTGCCAGTGGTGAAGTCAATACGAGAGCCTTGTGTGTGATGTAATACACGACCACCTCTCCTCCAAGACATCCCGGCTAACGTGCAACCCAATGGCGCAGTGGAAACACTGCGGGGGGGGGGGGGGGGCGTCCATAAATGACGTCACGCACCTGGGGGGGTCAGACAT